ACACACACACACACACACACACACACACACACACACACACACACACAGAGGGTATAAAGGCACAATAGTAATATTTTTCTTTTAAATGTGCTCTACTGACATTGGTCTAATTTTGTGTGTATGTCGAATAGGTGGACATACCTATCCGACATAGTGTTAACTTTCCATTTCACACTCTGCTAGCATCAGTGATAAGGTCAGGTTACAGATTTTTTAAATTTGTCTGTGGAAACAAATGAGACATGGCTGATTTGTATCTTTCCACTGAATCTGACCACCGTCCCCCATGATTTATTGTGCCATAACCTTTGTGTTCAGTCATTGTATTTGTTGAGAAAGGTTGTCTTTGTCAGATACAGGCTATAAAAATGTATTTGAGTGTATTTATGCTGGTTTCACAGGAAGTTATGCATGGCACTTTAGTGCAGCAGAGCTACACAACACAAAAGACACTCCTCTAATGACTGGCTCTGCAGAGTGCCAGCACAGATCAGTAGTGGTGGGTTATGCCTAGGTGCATGCCTTATGCTGGAAAGTGCTTCTGATGATTTTAGAGCAGTATACTTGTTTATTGGTATTTGTGTTTGCTTGAGTATGTGTTCAACCCCTTTGTGACGCTGTCAGCTGCGAGGGGTTCAGGCTTCTTTCTGACTTGGCCCAGAGTTCAAAGAGTCAGAGGGTCAATGCAGTCTTAAATGAGTTTTAAAATAAAATTGTGATATTTTTACACAACCTGCATGCTAAAGGCAAACTTTAAAAGCCTGGTTTAAAAAAAAAAAAACTGCTCAATGTTTGGCATTTCCCTGGACAAAACACTCACTTTTGATACGACACACTGACACACATCTCAGAGACGGTTGGAAATGCAGCGATGCCTCAGGGTCCCTCAGCATTGATTTTTCGGAGTTCTGTTGCAGCCTTTAACCTGCACCAGCTGTGTCCACACACACACACACACACACACACACACACACACACACACACACACACACACACACCAGCTTCCTGCACCTCAGGGGAATGTTTTGGCCAATGAGCTAGCGCTTTTGGCCAGTTGGCCATCTCTGTTAGCATGGTGTTTTCCAATCAGCACATTCCTCTTTCTCCAGACAGACGCAGAGAGACGGCTTTGGCAGCGCACACACTGGGTGGGGTAAAGCTCATATCCTGTCCCCTGACCTCAGATTGCACACATGCACAGTTACTGTACTGTTCTGCTCATGCACGCACTCAAAACACCACATTCTTGCACTTTAAATGTGCAGCTTTTCTTCTGTTTTGGACCAGCTGTTACAGTCAGTCTTTCAACCCAGAGTCATTCAGCATCTCTGTGCCCACTGTCACACACAGAGCCAGTGTGGTCGTGCCAATCAGCGCCTGTTGTTGAGCCCCACATCACCACAGACTCCCCTCTGTCTGTGTTAATGACTGCCCTCCCTCCGTCTCTCCATCTCCCCCCTTCACTTGGGCACCAGAACTGGGCTTGGCGTAACACTGTCTCTGACAACAATGATGCTCCAGTCCACTACGAGTAATTTGCTGCTAATTGCTTTGCACGCACGTCCGTCTAAGCATTTTCCTCAGCACAAACAAAGACAAAGAGACTGTAACGCACTTTTGATTTAGTGTATTTAATCCCAAATAAATTTCAAGCCCCGTGTAGGCCCAGGGGTGAACTCGGCTGAGATCTGACCTCCCTTTTTTTTTTTTCATGGAGTGACAAATGAAGCATACAGTCCCATAAACACTAACACTAAAACTGTCTCACTTTGTATTGCTGTTTTATTCTCTATCAACGTTCCTCGCTCTTCCCCCGATGCTCATAATTTCAGTGTCATGAAACCTGATGTTTGTCTTAAATGGAACCCATCAGAAGTTAAAAGTCTGTAGGCTGCTAAACTAACCTTTAACGGGGAATCTACGCACTCCATTCAAAAGGAGCCTCCTCACTGATTGTCATGTTTATCCAGGCAAATCCCACACTCCACTGGATGGTGACCGGACTGTGAGAAAGCTCTGAGACACAACATGCACTATTTGGGCCTCAGCATCCAGTGCCGCCTTATCCATCCCACCTCCCTCTTTTCTGACTGTTGAACTTTGCCACTCAATCTCTCCTCTTATTTTCTTTTTATTGTTGGTTCACACACACATCAGTGCTCTCTTTCGCTGCTGCCAGTGGCCTTCAGCGGGTATTTATCACCCGCTCTTGCCCAAACTCTAACTTTGACCCGTACCTCCTTCACATGTGCCTCTCAGGTCTGTCTCCTTCTCTCAGTAGGGGGGACCTGGGCCTCCTTGTCACTTGTCAGTGTGGAGGAGGTGTCAGGGGATTGAGGTGAAGCAGCCCTTTGTCTCAGTGCACTTGACGCTGCATACTTTGTTATCACTGCTCACAAAAGAGAAATAGCCATTTGGGGATTGTAGCGTGAGGATTGTTTGTGTGCAGAAGGGGGAGAGTGTGTATGTTAACTGGGCGGGGCGTGTTTTCCGTGAATGTTTGCTGCTCAAGCAGACTGTGTGTTTTGGGGTTCCAAATAGGTGGACTTTGGCACAGCTCCGTTGCTCACTTGCAAACTTTGATAGCGGTGAGAGTCATGCCAGTCCAAGGGCAAATGAGGGACGGGCGCTGCTGAGTGAACGGTGGGAAAAGGGGGTGACGTCCCAGGAGATAAATGCTCCTCATGTGAAACCCGTTCACACGTCCTCCTCTTTGCACTGTTTATGAATGTTACCGTTTCCAAAATCCCCCAGTTTTGTCACTGTTCTCTGCCTTAAGCGGTTATCTGCCAGATGCCACAGTCATATTTGGGTTTCATAGCAATGAATAGATGTGTGTTTACTAATCATGTTTGTTCACAGAAGCTAATGTCAGGCCAAACAATGGCATTATCTCTTTGTGAAGTTGTAATGAGACTCAGCTGGTGAGAAGTTGAGAAGATTTGTTTAAAAGAGGATTATTGATATGACTCAACTGCTGCAAATATATTAGCCCAAGCAGAAGCTGTGTGTGTGTGTGTGTGTGTGTGTGTTTGTGTGTGTTTGTGTGTGTCTGTGTGTGGGTGTGAGTGTGTGTGAGTTTGTGTCAGATTGCTGTGGTCATGGTTGCCTGGTGTTTGTGTGGTAATTATGACTAACATAACAGTGTGGTGTTGCTGTTCTCTCTCCTAGGTGACATCACGCAGAAGGGCTATGAGAAGAAGAGAGCCAAGCTTCTGGCCTCCTACATCCCCCATTTGCCAAGTAAGAACTGCTCATTGTGTTTAATTTCTGAACCTCCCCTCTCTCTTCTGCGCTGCTTCCCTTTTGTCTCAGCGTTGTTGAGGTGCATACATGAAGTGACTTCCTGGCATCAAGGGAACATATAAAGTCAATTTTCATTAAGCTGGAGTCGACCGATTATGTTTTGCTTCTCTTCCAGCCGTACAGGGAACATGACCCAAATGAGAGATTAGGTGGTGGTGCTTTTTTTCTCCTCAAAATAATAAAAAGATTCTTGGTGTGAATCTGATTCTCTTTGTCTAAGTTGTCCAATAGAATATCTGGCTTTCTGTGGCACTCTAGTGGACAAAACGAAAACTGCATTTATATATATGTATATTAATGTATCATAGCCATACTGTAATTTTTAAAGGCTTCAGTGTAGTTTGGCCCAGTTCTGATTCAGTTAGCAGGAACTGCCTATGTGTCACTGTGAGCCTGTCACCTCTGTACTGATTGAAGAGCTGATCTGTTAGATGAATCCCCATCGCAAGGCGGCTGTGTTTCCTCTTAGCAGAAGCATGAAAAAATGTGTTAGTCACTGTGACCTAATTTCCAAAGAGCAACACTAAACTTCCTTTTTTGTTAGCTTAACCTTGTCCTGCTTCTACTTGTGCTATACCATGACTCATTTTGGGTGATAATACATACTAACGCCACGAAAAGACCCGTAATAAAATTCGAAGTTATGTCTAATCCATAGTCTTCTGCTTTGTGAGTTTTGTTGGTTTATTTTGAATGTCGACAGAAACGTTGCTAGCTCAAGAATGAGTCTGAGCTTTTGTTCCCATCTTCTTTAGTCCATTTTTTCCTCAAATCACAGCATCTTCAGGGATTCAGTTGCTGATGGCCTATGAGACATAAAGACAATATTCTACATTCAGTTGATAACATAAGTTGGGTCAGTCAAGTGCTCCTCTTTGTTTCACTTCGAAGTATCTGAGTCTGTGCAGCCAGGCTAAATTTAGATAGAGAATCATGTAATATTTATGCCTACACCTTGTTGTAATGGCATTATGTAAAGCATGAGTGGGCTTTGTTGTGTGCTACTTTCCCAAAACTTGTGTTTGTTTGCTTGTTTGTTTTATTTATTAAAGTCGACCCATATATATCTGTACTGACTCTGAGCACTATGTTCTGCAGATGTGGATCTTTCTCTGCCAGATGTACAGCTTTCCCCAAGCCACAGTGCCGACCCGAGCCCGAGTCCTGAGGCCCCGGGCCCCTCCACCTCTTCAGCCTCCAGACACCATCGTGCACACCGCAGTGGAGGGGCCAGAGACGAGCGCTACAGATCAGGTCTGCGGCATACTGAACAACCTAAACTCCTAAGAAAAAATTTGTCGCCAAAAGTAAAGTTTTAAGCCACTTAATTTACCATTTAGCTCTTTTTGTACCTCCCTGTTTTTCTTCCTGCTTGTGTAGACATCCACACAGAAGCTGTGCAGGCAGCTCTGGCCAAACACAAAGAAGAGAAGATGGCACTCCCCATGCCAACCAAGAGACGCTCAGCCTTTGTTCAGTCTCCTTTAGACACCTGCACACCTCCAGGTAAGCTACCTCACACACACAGTGGGCGTGACATTTTGTTGATTATTAGCCCATTGACAATGATTCTTTAATAAGACCTCATTTTTAAAAATAAATAACATTGTGACTAAGCTAAATTCAAAATGAAATCTGTGAATGGTGGCTGTTTTCTGCCTTAGACACATCCTCTGCATCAGAGGATGAAGGCTCCCTCCGCAGAAAGGCTGCACTCAGCGCGGTGCTGGCCCAGAGCCTCCAGAGCCCCGATTACTGGATCAATCGCTCCGTCCAAAGCTCTTCCACGTCCTCATCTGCTTCCTCAACCCTCTCCCATGGAGAGCCTAAGACTCAGCCCCAGCCTCCACCTGCTGCTTCTGTGTTAGCTGATGTACTGGCTCACACTCGCATAGGTAAACTGCTCTGGGGAGACTGCCACTCTTAATCCGTCAATACCAAACAGCTTGTTGCCCTTCATGATGCAGACGTTGATTTCCTCTCACAGAAAACAGTGTCCCCCCGGATGTGACCTCTTCCACTCCACAGGAAAGAGGGTCCAGGGTGGATCTGCCCCCAGCAGTCAGAGGCATGAGCCGTGGACAGAGCCGCTCCAGCATGCTGGATACTGCTGACGGTACCCTGACATTACCCAGAAGGGTTATAAATGTCTTGTGATGTAATGGGCTAAAACTGTCTTAACTTATCCTCTGCAAGTGTTACGGTTATCAGATTGTTTTTCTCAAAATCAGGAAGTTTTACCATTCGCACGTTCTAATCATGGCAATGATTCACATATTCCTGTCATGCGTTGACCACAAAGGTTCAATGTCTTTCAGTGGAAAAGCTGATCGAGTGAGATCAAATCAGTAAAAATGTTGGCCTTCAAAATCATTGTCATGTGACTGTGGTGAATTCTGCTAATGACGGATATTTTGTTTTTTCTTTTGGGTCCATTAATCCTGTCCCTGTCTTGCCTTTCATTTAAAAAAGGAAAAAGGAAAGGTAATACAAATCAACCCTGGGGAAGGGGAGGGATGCTGAGGAGGCCCAAACCAGCTTGCTTTTCAGCCTATCTCTTTGTGTTCGTCTGGTGTTCTAGGTTTAGAACGTAGAAAACTTTGATTCCCCCCCTTTCAAATCTTCTGATCTGTGTCTCTTTGCGTACAAATTTCCCCCTTGAATCCTTCCTGCTGCTGACTTTGAAAATGACTGTGCTCTGGCGTAGGACTCTGGCTTAGTGAAAGCGTGTGGTGACGTACAGCTTTAAGTAGGGAACAACCGCATGTGTGTGTTACTTTGTTTGTTTGCACATGTTTGTGATGGCGGCTGTTCTTGGTGTTTGTCCAGGCGTGCCTGTCAGCAGCAGAGTGTCCACTAAGATCCAGCAGCTGTTGAACACACTCAAACGGCCCAAAAGACCTCCGCTCAGCGAATTCTTCCTCGATGACTCAGAGGAGATCGTAGAAGGTGAAACTTATAGTGTGCATGTGTTTGTAAAGGCATTCATCAAGGTTTGATTTGATTATTCTAAAAGTAGTTCAGACTTTATTTTAAAAACGGATCGAAATGAAAGCGCCTCTTTTTAATTCTCTCTCCCTCAGCCATGTGAAACGCTTTAGTCTGAAATGCAGAATCTCCAGTGAAAATCTAATCACTGCAATGTTTTCTCTGATTTCCCCCTCTTTTTACATCTAGTTCCCCAACCCGATCCTAACACCCCAAAACCTGAGGGGCGTCAGATCATCCCAGTGAAGGGGGAGCCTCTTGGAGTGGTCAGTAACTGGCCTCCTGCTCTGCAGGCCGCCCTCGCTCGCTGGGGGGCCACCCAGGCCAAGAGTCCTGCCCTCACAGTGCTGGACATCACTGGCAAACCCCTCTACACCCTCACATATGGTGAGCAGCACTCGGATATTAAACAAGATTTATTTGATTGTGTCAGATCATACTCTAGGAGAATGGATTTTTATGTTGGGTCCGCCTTAAGGAAGTACAAGGAATGTGTTTTTGAGAGGAGCGTCAAAAGATCTGAGGGCCTCATTCTGCAGTTGCTCCCATTTAAAACTCTTGTAAATTTCTGTTTTGTCCAAAGGCAAACTGTGGAGTCGCAGTCTGAAGCTAGCCTACACATTGCTGAATAAATTAGGCACCAAGACTGAGCCCGTCCTACAACCTGGGGATCGAGTAAGACTTTGTCAGACACCTCTTGCTAATCAAATGTTAAAGAACCGTGAAAATAAAAGAATGGTCTTTTCCGGTTTCTCAGGTGGCGTTGGTGTATCCAAACACTGACCCTGGCATGTTCTGGGTGGCTTTCTATGGCTGTCTGTTAGCTGAGGTCATCCCTGTGCCTATTGAAGTACCCCTGTCACGACAGGTAAAACCTACTCGGCTGAGGTTCTCAGAAAAAACTATGAAGGATGATACTACACCAAAAAGTGACTGATTCTTGTTATACAGAGAAACAACATTTCAGTGCGCATAAGACTTTAAAATGTTGCTTCATAAACAGTTGTTTCTGATGTCAGCTATTTAGCTTATTTTATGTCATGTTTGCAGTTTTATGCAGCAATCTTAAGAATCCTGACCCTTGTCTCTACACATAGGATGCAGGTAGTCAGCAGATTGGCTTTCTGTTGGGCAGCTGTGGTGTGAGTTTGGCATTGACCAGTGAGGTGTGCCTAAAAGGCCTGCCAAAGACTCCCAACGGAGAGATCATTCAGTTCAAAGGTCAGTAGGCCCCAACTTCCTTTTTATTTCTCCATTGTTGCTGTTTCCTTAATTTTTTATAGTTCTTTTGTGAACTGCAATTTAAAATGTGAAGTCGTTGGAATCTTATTTTCCACTTGTCCTTTTAAAATAAATTGTATACTTCCTTTTACATGTTTAGTTGCACTTAAACTTAAATTCATTTATGAATGTTGAACCATAGCTGCTTGTGTTCAGTTAAATTAATATATGATGTATGATCTGCCATGCTTGGTGCATTAAACAATGAATGTAAACAAATCATAATGAATGTTTGGGCTTTTTTGTGTGCTTAATCTTTATTTTGGTATTTATTTCATCATTGACTACAGGATGGCCAAGGATGAAATGGGTAGTGACGGACACCAAGTACCTGACCAAGCCATCTAAAGACTGGCAGCCTCACATCCCCACTGCCAACACAGATACTGCCTACATAGAGGTATTTTGAGCAGTTCAGTGTCTTTCAGATTATGTTCTCAGATTAATTTAAATCGATTTTATTGAACATAAAGAGATGAGCCCATGATCCATTAAGTTTTTTTTGTGCACTTATGCATCAACTCGAGTAATCATTTTATACTGTACTGTTTTTTTTAAAGTCTCTGCTGATTGATTCATATATCTCATTGACATTTGTTTTCCTGATTTGTTCCCATTAAAGTACAAAGCCAGTAAGGAGGGAACAGTGATGGGAGTTGCTGTATCCAAGATCTCTATGCTTACCCACTGTCAGGCCCTGACTCAAGCCTGTAACTACTGTGAAGGTCAGACCTTTTTGCAACATACCTGTCAAAGCCTCTCTCTTCTGATTTTTTTTTTTAATGTGTTATTAAACGAGAGGTTCATGTGTCTGTTCGTCTCAGGAGAAACACTGGTCAATGTGTTGGACTGCAAGAAGGATATGGGCATGTGGCACGGCGTCCTAACGGTGAGAACATAGCTGCTTGTAAAGGATTTTCTTCTCTTTAGTATGATCTTTGAAACGGTGAATGTGCATCTTTCTGTGCAGAGCGTCATGAACAGAATCCACACCATCACTGTCCCATACGCTGTCATGAAAGCCTGTCCCATGTCCTGGGTGCAGAGGGTACATATTCACAAAGGTTTGACCAGTCACATTGATTTCAAACAATTACATCAAGTAGAACATGACACTGAGTGCTCACAAGATCAAATAGACAGAATTTAGAAAACTCAAATGTATGATTAAAATATGAGGCAAATTCCTCTTGATGTTTGTACTTCATATAACATGCTGAATTTTCTTGTTCACAGCACGTGTTGCCTTGGTTAAGTGTCGTGACCTTCATTGGGCAATGATGGCCAACAAAGAACAGAAGGACACCAACTTGTCCTCTATACGAATGCTAATAGTGGCTGATGGAGCTAACCCATGTCAGTAGCTTTTCCTCTACAAACACAGTCCCTTTAAACCATTTCAAACCTTGTGGAACGTCTTCGCTTATTGCTATATTGATGCCTTTTTTTGTTGTTTACAACCAGGGTCTGTGTCTTCATGTGATGCCTTCCTGAATGTGTTCCAGTCTCATGGTTTAAAGCCTGAGGTCATTTGTCCATGTGCTACTTCTCCCGAGGCTCTGACTGTGGCCGTACGCAGGTACTGTATCTCTATAAACTGTTACCAAAAGACATACGTCAAATCTAAAACTGTTGATCTGTAAAGACCTTCTGTACTTTAAGCTTTAATAAATTGCTTGGAAAAGCAGGCATTTAAGCAAAAACATTATTGAAATAATGTAATTTTGCTTCCTCTGCAGGCCTGGTGCACGAGGCGCTCCACTCCCAGCTAGGGCCATCCTGTCCATGGGCGGGCTTAGCCACGGGGTGATCAGGGTCAACACAGAAGACAAGAACTCTGCGCTCACAGTACAGGATGTCGGCCACATCATGCCTGGAGGTTAGCCACCACATCTGGTTTGAGCTGTCAAAGTTAGACGTACAGCAGCTGCCGCATTTACAGTATTCTGGGTCTTTTTTGCAGATGGGGAGCTTAAACACATGCCATGCTAATGTTTTGACCTAATTGTGTGTTCCAGCTCTTATGTGCATTGTAAAACCAGACGGGCCTCCGCAGCTGTGCAAGACAGACGAGATCGGAGAGATTGTCATCAACTCTCGGGCTGGAGGCACCATGTACTACGGTCTTCCTGGTGTTACCAAGAACACATTTGAGGTCTGTCATAAACTCATGCTCAGTTGGCTCTCTTATGACTTTTTTCCTCATTATCTTGTTCTAAAATAGAACAAAACAGTGTAACATAAGATATGCTGTGACTTCCGAAAATAGGGTTACGAGATGGCATTGTATTGAATGCTGCCGCTTGTGTGATGTGAACTGGTCCTCCTCCTCAAACTGACACTGTGGCGTATGTGTAAACATACATAGATAGTATAGCAGCTCTTTTGTTTATCTATTCATTGGTCACACATACATCATGTAGTACTCTTTATTCTCTTGCTGGGTTATGAGATGCATAGTGGTACACCCTTCGTAATTGTTCTGTCTCTTGACACTTTTTTTAAAGCTTTTTACTTGCATATTCATCTATAGTAGCAAATCAGTTGATTCTTCATGATTTCTCCACCTGTCCTGACTTCAGGTGATCCCTGTCAACCAAGCTGGAGCACCCATTGGAGAAATTCCATTCTCTAGGACTGGTTTGCTTGGATTTGTGGGACCAGTAAGAAACAATCTTGGTTCTTTTCTATTAAGCTACATTTTTGGGGCTAATCATCATCATCATATTCCTTACCACATACAAAGAGGAACTACTGTAACTGTAACATGTTAAAGAATATGGATATAAAGAAATAAATATTTAGTTGATTTGAAGAGATCCTCTGTGTAGCGTTGTCAGACACTAATAATTTGATTCTATTAGTTTACAAAGACATTTATGTCTATTAACATTTTGCACCTAAATATAAGAAAAACCTCAAACGCAGATTGAAAACTGCTGGGATTTTCCCCTGAAGTGATTAAACAGCCCTCAGCTCATTAGTTCTTGACACTGGGTCTAATTTTTCTCTTAACTGAAACAGATGATCACAGCATGACCCTTCACTTGGTAAAATAATTCTCTTGGCACTCCTGTGCTCCTGTTGTGATCTTCATTCTGGTTGTGTGGGTGGGAAAAAGCAAGAGGGGAATATCTTTCAGGTGACCGTTGGCAGTGTTGAAATGATGTTTTCTCCTCCGCAGGGGAGCCTTGTGTTTGTTGTGGGGAAGATTGAGGGACTCCTGATGGTGAGCGGGCGACGCCATAACGCTGACGACCTGGTGGCCACCGCGTTAGCAGTGGAGCCTGTCAAAACAGTTTACAGAGGAAGGTATGACACTATGTGCTGCCTGTGAGCCAGTGTGTGTCCTCTGGACCCCCCTACAATATATATCCATAAGTTGCAGAAAAGATTCCAGCCAATGATCTTCCATCAAAGTCTGTCTTCCTTACACACCTGTATTTGCCATTGTATGTTTAATCAGTCCACGCGTCCCTTTTTTGCCATTTGTGCAGGATCGCTGTGTTCTCTGTGACAGTGTTTTTTGATGAGAGGATAGTCATTGTGGCAGAACAGAGGCCCGATGCCAATGAGGAAGACAGCTTCCAGTGGATGAGTCGAGTTCTTCAGGTATATTGTGCATCTTTTGAAATCTCTTTCCTTCTTTTCTTTTTTTAACGATGCTACTGAATAAGAACACCACTTTAACTCTCATTCATGTTTCCTCCAAAGGCCATTGACAGTATCCACCAGGTTGGCCTTTACTGCCTCGCTCTTGTCCCGGCCAACACACTCCCAAAGACGCCACTTGGAGGCATCCACATTTACGAAACCAAGCAGAGCTTTTTGGACGGAAACCTGCACCCCTGCAATATTCTCATGTGCCCACACACGTGTGTCACAAATATGCCCAAGCCTCGTCAGAAACAGCCAGGTGAGCAACGTCAGTCACCCCCCACGCACACAGAGCAAAGATAGCAGTACATTACAGCCAGCACTCAGAACTTTGGATGCACCTCAGAGCATTTAGACTTTCTCCACTGTGTGAAGCAAAGGTATATCTGTTGGGTTTGCATTTTTTAAGGTAGAAAATTGTTACACAAAGCCAAATCCAGAATGGATGACAAATATGAGAGATGCATGTGGGTACTAAAGCACTTGTCTGACATTAGCATGATATAAACATTCTACCTGAAACTGTGTACCAGTGCTTCATGGTCAAATATTGAAGCTCTTGTGAGTGAAACGGTCTTCATTTAATTTTTTACCTGATCTACTTTATGTAGTCAGGAAGATTGTGGATAAATATGAATGACGTTAGAAAGGCAAAAGTTAAACAGAATTTTTTGTTTGCTCTCTTTGTAACTTTGAGTTATGATGTGACGATAAAATGTAAACAAGCCGGTACGTTCAGAAGATTTTCAGGAAGTTTCCCAAGTATAGCAGGAATGTTGGAGCACAAGATGGTTACTTTTACAAAGATAGTGCCAAAATTCAAATCAGTTCTTTTTGAGGGTTTCAATGTTACTCACCATCTAGTGGTTAGCGTTAACTATTTGTAGCATTCGTTTTTTGTGTGCTGCTCTTTGCTAAATGTATCTCTGTTTTTGGTCTTCTCAGTGGATGTTGGTCCGGCCTCTATGCTGGTCGGCAACTTGGTGGCAGGGAAGCGGATTGCCCAGGCCACGGGCAGAGAGCTGGGTGTGGTGGAGGACCAGGACCTCATTCGAAAGGTACCGCTAACCAGACTACACTTGGAGCCTACCGTGCATTTTCTGACTGTTAATAAAGGATGCAGCATCTTTCAGCATGGTGTCAGAACCTTTCTTTGTGACTTTGTAAACAATTCACTTTGTAACACAATTGAAACAGTGCATGTCTGTGGCAATAGCGTCAGTGCCATCCTTTATAACGGTGCTGCTTTTACTCATGCTGTGTTGTTTCTTGGAGGAGACTTTAATAATTATTTGATTTAATTTTTGGGGGGTGTGGTGGATTTATTTATTTATAGATCAAAACATTGATAGAAAAAAAGAAACTGATATTTTCATATGAATTTAAAAGACTATTTAAACATGCTCTGAATATATTTGCCAAGTTAATGATGACGGTTTGTTTATCTGGCAGTGATAATGGATGCTGATGTTTTATCCTAAATCTCTATTGTTGTTCTGCCTTTACTTGGGTTGGGCTTTAGCTCTGTATGTGGCCCACCATGATGGTAAGGCTCTAGTCTGGCCCCTCACTGTCCCTGCTCGTGCTGCTTCTGTCAGTCACATGTGCTTCCGCAGCTGCACCAACCCGATGGCGTCCAGCGACAGCTTGGCCCTATGTGATGGCTGGCTCCTTTAACAGCAGGGGTCCACACATTCATTCTAGACGTTAGGCTGAAACTACGTTAGACAAATGACTCGTTTTAGGCACCAAAACTAATAGGAGAAATTTTGTGTGCACCTCTGCTCGCTGTGTTCACGCTCCCACATGTAGCATGGCTTGCTGAGTGGTCAGGGACACCAGCCTGCATGATGTCACTCCTTATTTTGAGCATCAGAGTGGGCAGCACAAAACAATTACTCAGACTTGTGATTTAGGTAAATCGGTAAAGCTTTTTAGTATTTTGTTTATGTGTCTGTACAATATGGTTGTATCACTTTTGCTATCTTTTTTTTTCCTGCGCTGGCTAAAGTGTATTTGCTTTCTTCCGTTAAAGGAATTATTTGCCTACATGTTTTGTCTTGTTCTGTCGCTGTGGCTACATTTCTATTTATGATGAAAAAGAAAGATAGATCGCCTTCTGGTAGCAAAGTTATTTGGAAAAAAGACTCCAAGGCTCTGATCAGTACCTGGACATTTTTCATAGACCTCATCAAAATTTTGGTGATTGTCTGAGTAACGCACAGCTAGCTGACGGTAGCTCAAATAAACCTTTTACCTGATACAGATGGTCACAGCATGCGCCATATTTCTTATGATACTCCTGTTGTGATCTTATTTCTTGTTGTGTGGGAGGTGAAAAACAACTAAGAATATCTTTTACATACTTTAAATATCTGTTTATAACATCCAAAGATGTTACTAAGAATAATGTGTGCTTTGGTGGATTTACAAGCCATCTCTTGATTTAAATGTTTTTATCTGTTAATCATTAAATGCATTAGAAACTGCTAGTAACCATGCAAGTGCACTTAGCTGTGTAATAAATCTTTTAGTATAATGTGATAAGTCCTTTTTTGTGCTTTTTTAGCATCAGTTCTTGTCAGAGTCTCTGCAGTGGAGAGCCCAAACAGACCCTGACCACGTTCTGTACGTGCTTCTCAATGCAAAGGTAAGCACAGAAACATGTTAACACTCAATCAGCCAGCTACATCCCTGAAAACAAGAGCTAGGAGATCTAAATTCAGGCTAATCTATTAAGCTCTTTTCACTTTGATCTATAGTTCTAAAGGTGATTCATTGTACTCTGTTATTTTACACTAGGGGGCAGCAGTGTGCACAGCCACTTGTGGACAGCTACACAAGAGAGCGGAGAAAATCACGGCCACTCTGATGGAGAGAGGCAGTCTTAACACAGGAGATAACGTGGTGCTGCTTTATCCCCCTGGTGAGCTCACAGATTTAACATTCCATTTTCCATTTTAAATAAATTGTGAAAGTGCTGCTTTTTAATGTGCCGTGTTGTCTCAGTTCCAAGGTTCTAATATTTCTGTCCTCTGCAGGAATTGACTTGATAGCTGCCTTTTATGGCTGTCTCTATGCTGGTGTCATCCCTGTGACTGTGAGGCCGCCCCATCCTCAGAACCTGGCTGCCACTCTGCCCACTGTCCGCATGATCATCGACGTGAGTTCCCTCACCCATGGCAGTTTTATGCCATACAAACCATGTAGCATACATCTTGTACTGTTTCCACACAAGACAGGGATTCTTGATAGAGAAACAAGTTAATTTCCAGACCTCTTTTCTTTGTGATATGAACATTCATGCACATTTTACCTGTTCTTCTCATGCGCCTTTGCATCATGAATCATTTAGGAGGAAGTCTTCTCTTTGAGTTATTGTATTTTCTCTTAACGGTCTCATCTATATGATGCTCCACCGCAAGTGTCAATAATGAATGTGTTTTTTTGAGCTGTACTTTCTATGGATGATTTTATTCATCGTATTTTAGTATTAAGGCATTGATTTCTGCTCATAAATGATTCATGTGTTTCTGTATTTGTGTGCCTCAGGTGAGCAAAGCAGCCTGCATCCTGACCACTCAGCCCCTCATGAGGATCCTCCGGTCCAGGGAGGCTGCTGCCAGTGTCAATGTTAAAACATGGCCAACCATCATTGACACAGGTACTTGACTCTCATGCCATCAACTCAGATTAGGAAAATGTTTAGAGAAAAAACACAATGTGAAGCAGCATAATCTGGTTATTTTGCTTGTGACCCCCTTTTTTCTGCACTCATTTTTTTCCACTTCACAGTTTCTGTCTCTGTGTTAAGCAAACATTTAACCATTAGATCTAACCAAAAACCACTGAAGAATAATCGGGGTGTAGAACATTTCTCGTCATAAGCACTAAAATCGTGATAATAAGTATTTGATGTAGCTCATTTGTTTATTTATTTATTTTAAATCCAGTTTTCTCTCTCCACAGATGATCTTCCCAGAAAGCGTCCTCCACACATCTATAAACCCCCTACAGCTGAGATGCTGGCCTACCTGGACTTCAGTGTGTCCACCACAGGCATGTTAACTGGCGTAAAGGTAAGTCATACTCAAGGAGGCTATACTCTATATATCAAGAAAAGGAAAATTGATCTCTCAGAACAGTCTGAATCTCCCCAGGAATTTTTTACGGAAAAACAGGAGTCTGTTTCCCATTCTGTTTCATAAGCAATGTATATTAGTAATTTTTACCTTTCATTTTCCTTCACTGTTCATGTCCATTGTTCTTAATTAAACCCTAGAAACTGAGGTTATGGTTGAGTTGACATTAAGCGAAAATAGACTAAAGGGAATCCACATATTCAGTCATTTTAGATACTTGACTAATAATCGTAACTGTGGGCTTTTGGATAAATAAAGAACTTAGAAACTGAGGAGTTTGTCACTTTCCTTAGATGTCCCATGCGGCCGTCAGCACTCTTTGCCGCTCCATTAAGCTGCAGTGTGAGCTTTACTCCTCACGCCAAATAGCCATCTGCCTGGACCCGTACTGTGGCCTGGGCTTCGTCCTGTGGTGCCTCTCTAGGTAAGTCCTATGCACAGACTGTCACTTTCACACATAACTTGATTCCTTGTTGCTTTAGCGAGTGGGGTTTTGTTTGTTTCCAGTGTCTACTCAGGCCACCAGTCCATCCTAATACCTCCCCTGGAGCTGGAGAGCTCCCTGCCCCTGTGGCTGAGCACCCTCAGTCAGTACAAGATCAGAGACACGTTCTGCTCTTACTCTGTCATGGAGCTCTGCACCAAAGGCCTGGGCACCCAGACTGAGATGCTGAAGGTCAAAAGCGCACACACACGATCAGTCGCACACACTGCACTGAAATGAACCAGTGTCATTACTTCAGCAACAACACACTCATTACTAATTTTCTCATAGGAATCATAACTGCTGTGATGGCAGCTAATAAACATCTATCAAACCATTTAGAATGATTATATTGTAAGATGAAAACAGTAATCATTCAAACAGCCAATGAACAATATGTAGTGTAATCATATATATTTTAACAGAATGAAAACATTTTGTGGTCTTTAATGTCTTAGACAGGCTCATCAGAGTATAAAAACGTCCATCCTTTTTTTTTTTAAATTGTTGTTTGTTTTTGTTGAAAACTCTAACTCTAAACTGTGTGTGTCTCCAGGCGCGGGGTCTGAATCTGTCATGCGTGCGGAGCTGTGTGGTGATCGCAGAGGAGCGGCCTCGCCTCACTCTCACTCAGTCCTTCTCAAAGCTCTTCAAAGACCTCGGCCTGTCTCCGCGAGCTGTGAGCACCGCCTTCGGCTCCAGGGTCAACTTGGCCATCTGCCTGCAGGTCTGCATTTTACAGAAACCCTCAACTGTCTCATCTGTGCACCTCAGTTTCACCCAGGCGTTTTTCTTTGAGCAGACACAATTACCACAGTTACTTTCCTGATAAAAAAGAAGGATCCACTTCATATTATGACCCTGTATTGTGACAACAGGGCACTGCTGGACCAGACCCCTCCACTGTCTATGTTGACATGAAGTCCCTGCGTCATGACAGGTAAAACTGAAGACTCTTGACCGCTGTACAGAGGCAGCCACAGCGGTCACATGATTTAACCAGTTAAGCTAAACCTTTCTTATCCCCGAGATCAAACGGAATGAAATGTCTTTTTGTGTGTCCCTCAGGGTAAGGCTAGTGGAAAGAGGCGCACCACAGAGTCTTCCGCTTATGGAGTCAGGCACGGTAAGTATTAATTAACAACTCATTAAAACGTATTCGTATGAAGCTTTAAATGCCCACAGAACAAAAACAAAGAATTTATATGTCTTTAAAGTAATGTCTCTCCTTTGTCTTTCCCCTTTCAGATTCTTCCAGGAGTGAGAGTCATCATTGTCAATCCAGAGACAAGAGGCCCACTGGGAGATTCACATCTTGGGGAGGTAAGGAGCATAAGGTCTAACCTTTTTTTTTTTTTTTTTTTTTTTTTTTTTTTAGTTTTTGCTTATTTTTTTTCACCAAAGTCATTTGAAAGAAAATGGGTTGCTGACCCAAAGACCAGGATATTGCCCTGGTTGTAGTTGGACTAAACCTTTCGGTAGCCACTCACCTACATTTCTATCGTTGTCCAGATCTGGGTAACCTCTGCTCACAGTGCCAGTGGCTACTACACCATTTATGGGGAGGAGAGCCTACAGGCAGATCACTTCAACACCAGACTGAGCTTTGGGGAGCCCCAAACTCTGTGGGCCAGGACAGGTTACCTGGGCTTCATTAAAAGGACCGAGCTGCTGGATGCAAGTGGAGGTGAGAACTGTCTCCATGGTCCTAACCAGACCTTTTAAAGGACTTGTTGCTTCTCAGCCCTTTGTTGTCACTTGTTGAGACGAAGGACGTTCTTCCATCTATATATTTTTATGGGGTTATAAGGATACAATACATGTCTTTTCATGAGGATACGTTTCACATATTTTTCCCCCTTCGCTCATTCATTTAAACCAAAACAAAAAAGACACACTGTACAGACACATCAATCACGGCTTATTGATTTGTAACACTGCCCACTTCGGTAAACGGGCATCATTAAATCCATCTGTCTGAGACATGATTATAGGTACCATCAGTGGTATGAGGACGACTCATTCACACTCAGGGCTCCACAGCAGTCATACTTTTTTTCTTCTCTACCTCAGATCGCCATGATGCCTTGTTTGTGGTGGGCTCTCTCGATGAAACATTGGAGTTGAGGGGGCTGCGTTATCACCCCATCGACATTGAGACGTCTGTGTCCCGAGCCCATCGCAGCATTGCAGAGAGGTGAGGCTCTTGAAATGCGCTCGGAACGCGGTGCCGGACATCCGCAACCAATGTAACCCCTCTCGCTCCCACAGTGCCGTGTTTACATGGACCAACCTGCTGGTGGTGGTGGCAGAGCTCAGCGGCTCGGAGCAGGAGGCCCTGGACCTGGTGCCGCTCGTCACCAATGTGGTCCTGGAGGAACACCACCTCATCGTGGGGGTGGTGGTCATCGTAGACCCTGGGGTGATCCCCATCAACTCCAGGGGGGAGAAGCAGAGGATGCATCTGCGGGACTCCTTCTTGGCAGACCAACTGGACCCCATCTATGTGGCCTACAACATGTGAATGACTTTCAGACACTGATGCCTAAACTGAGCCAGGCTCTGAGAACAGACACGAGGGACAAAGACGCTGGGGGTGTGAACAGCAACCCCGATGTTAAGTCTCAGACACACATTAAAAGACCAAACAATGTGGGAACGCAAGGATAGTACAAGCACTGTAACAACAAACGCTTTTGTCTGAAGCAGGTCTTTCTGAGCTCCTGCCTGCTTGATCGCAGCGGTCCGGGATCACCAAGGTTACAGGGGACGACAGCTTCTCTCCCCTTGAGAGGAAACGCGTCTGTCAACTGGAAGAAATCTGATCTTTATCCACTGTTAGCACCACAATCCACTTCAGCAGTCCAATTTCTGTTTTAAGACATTTTAATTCTATAGTTTACCTGAAGAAAAAAAAAAGCTTTTCTTTGTTTGCTTTTAGGCCTGAACCGTACATCTTTGTGTCTTTTTAAAAACTTTTTCAAAAATTCTTCGGACCCCTCTTGAAGGCAGAGTGGCACTCCAGAACTTCCTCCTTCCCTTGCACTTTATGTCCTCTCATGTCCGCCTCCTCCGCCTGTGTCACCTGCCTCAGAAGGAGACCTTCCCCATCTGCCCTTACCCCGTCAGTATCCACATCAGTATTAAAGTGCCACCAGTGAGTCCGGCCAAAGAAGCTGTCGTGACTCACCACCTTAGTCACAAGACGCACAGTGGCTCTCACCCCCAGCCACACACTGTTCTTTCACTTGTTACAAAACATCCTACGATACACTTGAATTACTGGGAAAAGCAAACATACAAACGTGGATCATAAAGGTGAAAACAGAGTCTTCATTTTCAGTGTGAGTAGGACTCGCTGAGTTAGGTAGATCGTATGATTGCGATAGTACTAATAATTTTTAATCTAAGAGCACCAAGCAGAATTTGAAGCTATGCCCGGCGTTTAGGTGTGCATGCTAACTGGGAGTGCAGCTGATGCCTCCATGCAGGTTAAAGAGAAAGGAAAAAAAAAATCCTAATAAGCCCAGGGGTCCCGGCAGTGGATTGGTTGGCTTTGAATATTCTGGGAGTTTAGTCCCAGTTTGTGCCTCATAATAATCACAGCACAGAAATAAATGTGTGGTCGCTGATTGTGCAGAGATTGTCTAACCATGCAGTGTAACAGACACATCACACGGATGTTACGTTGGGTCTTCTTCATTCCAGTTACAAATGGCCACATCGGAGTATCTCGTTTCGTCCCTGGCTTTGAGCCTGTCTCAACCTGATTTCCTGTGTTGCACAGAGCGAGCTGTGGGAAACAGTGAGAGCATCAGTGAGTCTACTTAAAGAGTTTTGAGTAATTCCAGCAACCACAACGACTTGAGCGAGCTCAGATCTATTCGAATCCCTTTAATAGCAGTTTTTTGGTAGTCATTACATTTCCTTTCAGGCGATGGATGCAATAGCGCACAGCAGTGAAAATTAGATAAGAAATGGAGAGATGGTTCCCATAGATGGGTATGAGCACACTTCTGCACTCTGTTCTGTTCGTTCCTGCTTTTGGAGTTAGAGACACCTGCAGTGTGGCTCTAATTACTTAATCATTAATTAATTAATTAATTATTAAGGATGAGTACCCTGAGTGACCCTCTGGGTCCGCACACCGGAGTCCACAGTTCATGTGTCCACTCCGGCAGAAAATCTTTCATACAAACGAACATCACATATCATTTTGTATCAGTTTTGTCTGACTCCAATTTATTCCTTGAAAAAAAGGTTACAAATCTTTTTGCTGCTCAGAGCGGAAAATGTTTTCATCCACACGATCAAAAGCCTCTCAGTTCCTGATATTCTTTCAGAACAGCAGCATGTAAGTGTGCCTGCTGTTTGATGGCCTTCTGGATATTTGTTTGGTATTCCTTCACTCGTATATCTGATGCACAGCGTTGGGACACATTGAATTGCAAATTATGAGAGGCTCAAACTGATGTCAGCAGAGCTGATGGATTTAATGATAATGCTAACAGTTTGTCCTTAAAGTTAAGGCCTATGACAATTGAGGATTTGCCGATTAAAACGGCAAAAAAAAAAATTGAGGGGGACCTTAAGTCTAGCTGTTAACTGGATTCAGGCATTGGCTGCTTCCTGGCTTGAACTGAGGTTGTTAAATGAGCTGCTATCTTTCAATCTGTGTGTAGTTCTTGAACCTTAAATCCAACAACTTAACATTTGTTGTCGCATCTGATAAGATAATTCTAGCTCATCAGAAGGCAGGTCAGTGCCTTTCACCAAGGAGACATTTATGGACTATAATTTTAAAGAAAGCAGCGAATGCTCTGAGAGAAGAGAACTTTGCCTTATTAAGCCTGTGGAACTTCTCTCTTTTTTGTTTGACTGTTTTTGAAGAACAATTCCACAACTGCGTGAGAAATCAAAGACCAGTTTCTACCACAAAACATATCTTTCAAGAACCGGGGTTGTCTTTAAGTTTGTGGTCCTGCCTTTTTTATTTTTATTTTTTATATCAGTATTTAGGCCAATCCTTTCTTCATGTCTGTAACACTAATGGAAATTTAAAAAAACAAATTAGGAACCATGTGTAAAAACCTGTGAAATAAATCAATTGAAATTCTCCATGTTAGGAAAAAAAAACCTTACATTACAAAAGGGTAAAAATGTGTGTAAACTGTATTTTAGAGGTCACATACTGTATTCCTGGTGTTACTGTGTACATGGGAATGGACTGTAGATACAAACTTGACTGATCTTTCATACTTGACAGCATTTTCTGCATTGTTAATTTAATGGCATCACATTGCAAAAGAGTCTATTTGGGCAGACACAATGTGCACTTTCTCACTATCATTTGTTGAGCGTGTGTGTGTGTGTGATATGCGAGTGAGTGTGTGTGCGTGCGCGTGTGTGTTCAGCTTAACGGTGATATATCGCTTTTATGGTGCAACAAACTTTGTCTTTTGTAAGAAATTAATCCCAAAATTTTGACCTTTTGTTTTTGAATTTTTCAATATTCTTTTTTTATGTCGCCTCCACTGTATTTTTACTCTTTCCATCCAGAATTGGGATTTAATATATTTTATATGGGTCTCATCAATCTATACCTGATGTAATTTGCATTTGGAACTGCACCACCTCTGCAAACAGCTGGTTTGATTGGGAAGCAGCCTGCCACCCGGTGCAACTCCTCCACAGACCACTTTTCTTTCAGTGACAGACACTGAGGACGCCTGCGCCAGCCAGTAAATGAGTTACTCATGAATAACTATGTGATGATTGCTTTGTCGCTACTGTTTCACTCCGAGTTTTAATAAAGTTTTATAATTTCACGTTGGCCTTTCAGCCTTTTTAATAGACATTGGTGCTATGAATTAAAGGTGCAAGACTTTTACTCTCCAATGTCATCACAAAAAGATTTCGCCTTGACCCTTTTTGTGTGAAAAACTCCTTTGTTTTTTCATGCTGAACTCTTTATGTTTTCACCCCCTGAAATTCAGACTAGTTTGTCATGGCCACTTTTCATCACCTGCGATCTGATGAAAAGACTTTCAACTCCATGTGGACAATGCACGTTTTCCCATCTTCAGTTTTTCAGCCTGTGCTGGGAGATGCATTTCCAGCCTCAGAAATGATTCGAAGCACAAATTGTAACTTTTCACGTGAGGTATTGTTCACACCCACACATGCGTACCCATGCACACAAACAACTCAAGGGCCCACCATGTATACCTCAGCAGCTGTCTGTTCACTATGCATTGTCGAGCTGCAGCAGAGACATTCTGGACTAGTCAATGGTGCGATATTTGATATGTCTTACTAGACGAAAACACTGTCACACTGTCATTGGATGTGTTTCCTGTCAAAGAATAAAAATGCTTTGTCTGACTATTCTCGGCTCTCTTTTTTTTTTTTTTTAATCTCTGGAAGCTTCATGAATCAGCCAGCGCTCAACAGAAAAATCCCAAAACCAGCTTCTTTCCACCAGATGGCAATGTTTCTGTTTCATGTGGGGAAAAAAAGATGCAATGTCATCCAGTTGGGATTGTCACCTTTCAGCTTCAGAGTGACACTGATTAGAATGAGCATGTAAGCTTTTTTTCCTTTTCTTTTTTCTGCACGTTATAGTCCATCAACTGTAGCTTCACATGAACCCTCAATGAATGATTGTGTCATTGTGTTTTTTAAAACCTTTTATCAGTCAATTTCAGCAGCTGATGGTTTCACTGAATTTTAAGCTACATAGGATATTTTTTGTTAAAGCAAAATTAAAAAATGTGTGGTTAGTTTACCTTTTAACAATCCATAAAACATTTAGTACTAAGGTTTAAATTTATGTTGAAACTAAAAGGCAATCAAAATCTCTTCTTTTTTTTCAAAGCACATGTGTTTAAAAGGTTCAAACAAGTTGGGCCAAAAATCATAATGCAGTGATAGATTAGGTATTTTTCTTATTCTGTATGTGATATTATGGATTTATTTATATCTATTGGTCTGATTCATTCAATTTCTTTTTTGTGTGGTTATTTTTAAGTGTGTTTTTAATTGTTTTTTAAGTCATTAACATATGTATCTAACTCCTTTGGTCTTCCTCGACCGTGTGGGATTCAGAAGGGGGGACAAACACCCAATACTGTTGTCAATTTTCTGCTTATGCAATAACCAATGGAAATCAATGCTGATCACAGATACAGGAACTTCTCAGGAAGTTTGACCTTTGCTGACAAACCTGTACCCATGTCAGAGTCCATCACCCAGAGGGAGGAGCTGACCGACGCGTACAGGCTCTGTGGACGGCTCAAACAACACTCTGAACTCACTGGTAATGAAAAGACTCGTTCACTCGTGACAATAACACTCAGGTCTGTCTGGGGCTCATTGATCATCTTCATTGCTGATTCAGAGCAGCATCAGAGCGAGGCTGAGCAGGGCCGCCATCGGCCCGGTGTTCAGACGCCGTGCGGCAGAGGCCGCTTCCGCCTGACTCGCTTCCAGCCAGTCGGAAAACCTGCTGGTCCGCGCGTACACCCCTGGTCTGCGAGGAAGGCCGCACTCCTCCCCGAAGCTGGTCACCCCTATCACGTAAAAGCTCTCGGCGTTGTCGCTGTAGCACTGCAGCGGGCCCCCGCTGTCGCCCTGCACCACAGACAAAAAAAAACACACAAAAACATAAACCATTGTGTTTATGGGAAACTCTGCTGCTCACAGCCGTTTTCAAAAGACTGCCAGTCCCCGCCTGACCTGACAGGAGTCCGCCCCCCCGCTCTCCTGTCCCGCACACAGCATGTTGTCCGTCACGATGCCGCCGTACCAGCTGAGCTGGTTACACCTGCTGTGGTCAATGAGCTCCACCTCCACCTCCTGCAGTCGGTCCATCATCTTGCCTGAACACATCAAAAGGGTCCATGACTTGTAAAAGGTTTTTTGAACAATCTCTTGATAAGCAGGTAAACATCTAATAACTCACTCAGTGACTCTATGTGGCTACTAGCAGAGGTAAGATTTTACTTATGAACAAGAACTCAAACAACTCAAATTTGCGTGCGAAACAGGCACACATTTAAAACAATACAGTCATTGTTCCTTCCATCAGGCTGAACGTTGACTTTTATGCTTTTTGATCCTCAAATGCCAAAATATCTCTACTTTGAACAACTTTGTCGTCTTCAAAATATCTCTACTCTACACAGCTTATTGTGAAGGGTATTTGCACAGTTAAAGTTGTTGGTAAAACTAATGAATAAATAAATAAGTGGGGTTTTCATTTTAAAGCAAACCATCAAGGCTGCAGCCTTTTAAATGTTATTGAGTTATTAATAAAATATGTATGGGACAGATGCTGTGTATCTGCAGGAAGGTTCCACTTTAATTTCAAGTGAAAGATGAATACATTCATAATTCATCATAGATTAAAGTTCAATAAAAGGCATCTGATGTGGATTTTTTCTGTAGGGTGGCTGCAAACTGAATTTGAGGTACTGCATATTGAAATCAAAAGGGTGTGTGATGATCTTTAAATTTCTTAAACCATAATTAGGCCAATGCTACTGACCAGTTGCAAAAAAATTCAATCATGGTCCCTTAAAACTTTGTGTCCCTCCTCCCAACTTGCGTGGCTACCATAGTTTGAAATGAGGCAATATGTTTTAATGAATTTGAAACTGTAAATCAATATTTTTCTACGATCTTGTATGAATCAATTCAAAGTGTGTAAATATGTGTTAACTTTCCAGCCAGGGAGACACTTACCAACTTCTGCTAAATAAACAACAGCAGGGATCTGTCAGAATAAGGGGCTTTTCCCACCAACCTTTGTAGTAAGTGCTCCCCCATCCAGTGACAAAGCAGTGGCTGAAGTTGAGCATGAGCTCGTAGGTCCGATTTCGAGGAATGCAAATGGGTTGAACGTGGTCGGTGACGTGAAGGGGATAGCTGAGCAGCAGCAGCGTTACATCATTGTTGGATGTTCGGTCATCATAGTCCTCATGCATCCTAATCTCGCTGATGGAGCGGATCTGGGCGTGTTCTCCAGGAGAGGACAGGACATTTGCTCCCGCCACCACACGGAAATAACGCTTACTGATAAATCTGAACACAGAACAGAACAAGTGTGAGTCATTGCTGCTGCTACATGGGACCCTATTACCCAGTAAACCTAAATCAGTTCCACAGCATCGCCTCCTGTGAGCAGCTGGGCTTTATTGTGTGTGTACTACAGAATAAACACACTTTACACAGCAAACGTATGATGATTTTAAAAAAAATCATTTGGTTTTCTGGCCTAAACTCAGCTGCTGCAGATTGTTAGGGACTTTGTGCTTTTTCTGCTCTATAGATTTGACATTAGGCTTTTTTCGATCTTGATATTTCAAACAGTTGGATGACCAACTTCTTGTAGCAATCATAGCTTTCTTAAAGATTAGCTTTTTGGCTCACAGCACACCGACTATAAAATCTCTGTGTCTTACACGTTCGTCTTCTGTTCAGAAGTTCATGTATCAAATGAAGCCAGCATGTGTGTGAACTTTGGCTCTGGATATTTTGTACTCTTTGGAACTCTGTGTGTTGTTTTGTCTTCTTTTGAAAAAAGCAATAAAAAGGTCTAACCCAGACCCAGAGTGAGGTATGTGTGTGTGTGTGTGTGTGATTTAAATCCTTCTCACTGGTACTTGTGGAAGCAGTGTGCGGCGGTCAGCACCCAGAGGTTGTTGAGGATTGTTCCGCCGCAGTGGTGCCTGGACAGGATCTGGATGCTGACCTGCCAGGGCCACGCCCCTTCGGGAGCGTCCTGGCCACCCACTATCCGAGATCCGCCCGGCGCCCCGACCAGGGGCCGCTTTCCACAGCCTGATAAACAACGCCAAACAACGTTTTGGTGAGAATGCTGAAATGACAACTTTCTGTGATGAAGTGTTTGCACACAGTTATGTTAAAGTCCATTGTAACTGATATAATTTCATCAAAGTACTCAATCAACCGCTGACTCGTCAACATAATTATGACAGAGCTTGCATGTATGTTTTAAAAACTACATATGAAACTGTTTTAAAAACTCCATACTCTAAAACAGTGTTTCTCAAACCCTGGTCCTCGGGCCCAAAGTCCTTCCTGCCCTCCATGTTGCCCAGTTCAAGCACGCCTGAATCAGATGAATATGCGGCTATCCTCCTCCTGCAGAGCTGAGGAGCTGATCCATTCATCTGAATCAGATGTGCTGGATGTGGGAAACTTGGAAAGCATGCAGGACTCTGTGCCCTGAAGACCAGGGTTGAGAATCGCTGCTCTAAAAGGTCCTCCATGATGCTCTTCTGACACTATAAGAAGGTGTTTTTTTCTTCCTTCTCCCACTTTTGTCACATTAGACCAAACAACAGCTCGGTTTTGATTGGGCCTAAAAATCTGAAAAGGTTATCAGGGTTATCCAGAGAGAAGGAGACTTGAGAGACAAGTATAGGAAGAAGCTTAAAGCATCTTTTTTTATTATGATTATAACGATAATGATTCTGCAGGAACAACTCTGACCCACTGACACAAGGACACACTCCTCAGCAACTTTAACTAAATTTGAGGGTCATCAAATATTTCTGATCACATCAGACAAACCAAGGGGACACCTTCAATAAAAACCTGAACTAAGAACTAACAAGTTTAGCAGAAAAGTATTTAGTGTTGTTAAAGGTTGCAGACTTTTTAGGCTGTCATTACATCCCTGAACCCCTGTTTGTTTAAGCTCATCTGAGCACACCTTACTTCAATCCTGTCCACACAATAGAACCCGAGTTCTTCTGTCATTTTTCAAAAAACAAAACAAACCCCTCAAAAAGCAGATCGGTTCATGAAACTACAGCAATAAAAACAAAACACAGATCCTGCTTCAACTCACTGTGCGGTGATGAAGCTGAAGTGGTCAAACACAGGAAAGCAAAGAGCAGATGAACCTTTATCGCCATCTCCTTTAGATTCTTTGTGACATTTTTTAATCGCAAACAAAAACAACTCCATCCTCTGAGTGACGTCATGTGAACGTTGGGCTCGTTTGTCCCGCATTTGGTTAAAGATGATATAAGTAAAAAAAACAAAAATTACCCCAAAGACCAGGGCGAAATTAAGTAGAAGTTGATTAAATGACAACAGCAAACTACTCCTATAAACTGCTTTAAGGACACTTTCATTCACTTGAGTTTTCAGTCGCTTGAATGTCTGTCATCTAAAACCAGCAATACAAAATGAGAAGAGTTTATTATTTTTTTAGCAAATTTGTTTGTGCACATCGGTCCTGCGGTGCCCTGATGCAAGCCGTCTCAGCTGAATTTTTCCAACAGCCAATAAATTCCTGCACAGGGACCCGGACGAGCTCACTGAAGACACCCCTGCGCGTCTTCTCTCGTCCAGATCCTGAACCCGTGCGTCGGGGCGCATTCTGGGGCTTCAGGAGGCTGCAGGACTAAATGACCTTTACTGTTTTTTCGAAACGAGCTGGCCGACACTCCCCGTCCATCCTCACGTTCAGCCGAGAGTCATCAATTATGCAAGGAAGCTGCTCGCGCTGAGGGTGGGGGGGGGAAGATAGCAGCAACAATATGGCGACAACCGCAGTTTCTCTTCAACCTTTCCCACATCTGCAGCCCCGCAACGCCTCTCCGGATTCACTGTAATGCTTCAAAAGTGAGTATGCTTAATTTGCAGTCGTTTGGGGGAAACGCGGGGATGTGTCGCTGTGTGTGGAGGAGGAGGATGAGGATGAGGAGGAGGAGGATGAGTGGGGTGGGGGTGGGGGGGGGGCTCTCTCTTCGTCGGTATCCCTGCGTAGCCTGAATGTCGCAGAGCTAAACACTGCCCAACACCGTCTTTCTCCTTACGGATGATATTTTTCACCTTTTGTCTTCTTTTCTTTCTCGGATCCGGACCGAAGGGGGGCGTCCGTACTTGCCGAGAGACTCTCTCTGCGGGACCAAAACGAGCTAGAATACACATAATTTGCCAATCGTTTGGTCTCCATCACCGGGAATTGATGGGAATTAGTCGAGCGCCGGATGCTCGGGAGTGGAGATGCCTCACGCGTTAGGCTCCGGGCAGGGCGCAGTCTGACCACTCCTGCACGGAAAAGCAACCCCCACCAATCCTAGGGGGTTCGGTTCAATTCCGTGGCTTCATTTTTCTTCGGTATTTTACACCCCCCCGGAGGGGGTAGGACGGTGCAGTTTAACGACATGCTTCGACTAAGGGGACTGACTCTGTGTAAGTAGCCCGATCTTCCTATTCGAAACCGTGGAGTAGAAATGGCCCTTCCTTGAATCGGGTGTCGGGGTGCCAGTCCCCCTGACGTGTGCACCTTATGCTGCACACCCGGGGGGCTGTTTTCAGTTTGGTTCTTCCACGGAGGGACACCTCATCGATTGGGCTGTCGCGGGTGTGGTGCAGATCCCATCACGCGCAAATACGCACAGGACATCTTGAATGAAGGGGTGGTGGTGCTGGTGCTGGTGGTGGTGGTGGTGGTGGTGGTGGGGGGAGAAAATCGGGGTTTTCCCCGCGAATAACAGCACGCATAGTCAGTGGTGTGTGGATTTATTCAGAACCGTCGTCCTCGCTTTTCACGGCTGTGACTAATCCAGCTCAGCGTGGCATCCTTCACATAGCCTACAAACCACCCACTGCAGCAGCAGCAGCATCGCTTTGGTGGGAACGGGCCACTTCTCTGCGCAGTGTAACCTCCAGCTCCTGACAGAGGAGGAGCAGGGGGAGCCGGTAAAATATCACACGAACGGACCGCGGATCATTTGCCCAAAACGCGTCGTTTAACAGCCAAAAAAAACGCGCAAGTGTGTGTATCAGATTCATCGCGCTCTCTATACGTGAGAATGATCACGTTTCCGAGGGCTTTGATTTAACCTGCGCGCTGGAAAAGGCACCGAGACACAACAAGACGAGAGCTGTGAGCGAGCTGAGGAGGACTGGAGGAGAAATGGTGCAGGCCCCAGGTCCGGGGCTCCGCTAAGAGCACTACCGGGGAGCCGAACGTTTAAAAAAATACAAAAAACCCTCTTTTCTCCAAAGATTTCTGCTTTGGCGTGTACGTGCTCTCACGCGCGCACGCGGCTGTGATTGGTGTGAGTGCTCGTGCCCTCGCGCGTGGTGCTGAAGCGGACAGCGCCAGCAGCGCGCGGCAGAAGGTTCCGGGGTCCATTTTAAAAACAGACGTCTTGTCTGGCAGGGTGCATGTTTTTTTTTCCCTCCCCTGTGTGCGTGCGCGTGTGTTTTCGCCTCATACCAAACGGGCTTTTTCCTGAGTGATATCAGCTTCACACGCCGAGCATTCGCAATTAGAGGGTGTTATGCAAGAGGGGAACAGGGGAGTGACAGGCCTCGCGATTCAGATATGGCTGCCAGTCCTGTTCAGGCTGCATCCAGCTGCCTCTCCTCCACCACACACTGCAAATACAGCTTTGTGTTGACTGATTAAAGGATAGCAAGGAAGGAAAAGTCCCATAAATCACATTAACGATGCTCTCTCAGGTGTGGCTGGGCTCTGCTAGTCTTCAGTCATTTTCTTTTCTCCTTCGCCTGGCATGAAGCTTTAATGCTTGCGGTGTATCCGTTAAATCTTTGAAACACCAAACTGGGCCGGAGAAAAGGTTTTGCAGTGCCAGGCGGCCGTTGAATGTGCAGGCTTCTCTGTCAGTGCTCCCAATCACAGATCACATTAAGTCACGTTTCGTTTCGATTTCTTTCCACGCCATGTGGCCAGGCATGTGGATGAGTGGTTTTGAATTTCTTTATTACATTCTTACTCATTTTTTGACGGCAAAGAGAAAGATGTAAAAAGGATTCTGTAGAAACACCAAACTCAGTCAACTCACCAGATATCACAAGAAAAGTTTGTATATATGTTTCTCTAATTCTGATTATGGAACAGCCAAAGTTACAGGAAGAAATGGTGTCATTTGTCAAAATCCCTTGCTTTTTCAGTTATTTCAGATTATTTAGCAGGAAACATAGATGGCATAGTGGCCCCCTCCACCTCAGAATATGTAGTCATCTCAGTGAGGTTGATATTCCATTCTTATTTTAGTTGAGCGACTTAAATTGCTGTATGTTTTGCTCTTTTGCAATGACTGTAGAGGACAAGCAAACTGTTCAGTGTTATATGCAAAGAATCTGTCATTTCTTCCCTCCCCAGAACTGCTCTCGTGGATGGTACAAATCTAATGACCAAGTAGCTGCAGGATGAAAACATGGCCCTACCCCTTATTGCACCGCCAGGACCTGATAGCTTCAAGAAGTTTACTTTGGAATCTTTGGTGGTCCTTGACCAACGCATCGCAGAGGAGAAGAACAAGAAGCCACCCAAGCAGGACAGCAGCTACCGCGACGACGATGACGAGAACAAGCCCAAACCCAACAGCGACTTGGAGGCTGGGAAGAGTCTGCCCTACATCTATGGGGACATCCCTAAGGGATTGGTGGCGGTACCACTGGAGGATCTGGACCCATACTACCTGAAAAGTCAGAAAGTGAGTTGGCAAAGTCCCCTGACACAATCCATATTAAGTTTGTGTGCAAAAATAAGCACAAAGACTCTGACCGACTTCAACGTTTTTGAAAGAAATGTTTCTAATTTGATTTAGTTAAACAGCTCAGCTGGGAATTGTTGGGTTTTTGTAAATAACTTCAGAGTACGGTCTGACCTGCTCTTTTGGGAAAGAGCTGGGAGTTAATTGTTATGATTTTGCACTATACAAATAAAATGTAATTGAAAATTGAAATACAAAAACATGAAAATGTTGAATTTGGACTTGAAATAATGTTAAAAACCCAGCAAAGTTTGCAATTTGTCCCTTTTTCTCAGGCTTGCCAACATTACATCACAGTCACTTCTCAGTTGTTGTTGCCTTTAATGTGGTGCTTGGTTCTGAAGATTTAATTCTTTAGGTTTCTAAGAGTTCTGATTTTTGAAAATGTTGGTGGGGCTTGATCGAACTCATTTCAATGTGTACAGTGATTTTGTGGTTTGTTGAACCATCCATTTCTTTGGATATTTCGTAGGCAGATTTTTGTAGCCTCTGCTAAACCAGAAGTAACTGGTTCTTCTTCTCTGTTTTTTCCTGTTCACCTGGACCGAGCCGCAGACCTTTACAGCTCTGCCCGGTAGAGTGGTGCTCTGGCCGTGAGCTCGTGTTACAGTAGCTGTAGCTAGCTGTGGATGAGACGCTTCATTATGTCATAGTGAGTCATGCGTCCTGGTGACTGAGATGGAGACATCGTTTCTCCTCCAGGTGTACAATGTTTACTCTCGTTTTGATGCTCACATTTGGTGGCAGAACCCAATCAGGTTTTCTCCCTCACTGACCATCAGGGAGGATGAAGCTGAGGATATGTAGAGGGCCAGCGTTTTAGCTCTAACGCACTCGCAGATCTGTTGGGAAAAGTCCAGAGGGAGCCACTGGTGAAAGACGGTTCCACATGACAGACTTTCCTAATTATGTAAAGCATAATCTGAGGCGGGAGAGAGGAGCGGCAGCAGGCAGAGATGGCTGTGGGTGTGTTAGAGGAGGCACGTGGCTCTCTGGGATTTCTGTCACGTCTGGCGCGATGCGTTCGGACGGCCAGGTGTGACCTTGAGAGGCTCTGAATATCAGCGGCTAATCGTCAGCTGAATCTGTGAAAGGGGAGGCGCCTGATTGATGCTCCTGCACTCATCAAGCTGTCTCCCAACGGAGAGATGAGGACAACATGATTTGCAGATGTTGACAGAGGCTGAAACAAAAGCACGGAAGATTCAATTTGCTTTTGCCTGGTTGTGGAAAAAAAAAATGTTATCATCAAATACAAAGATCCGCTATCAGTTTTATCCAAATCCAGGCGCGCTTTATAATCAAATGACGGTTCCGTCCCCGACTTTCAATCCAGATGCAGCATGAACTGTCATTTCACAACAATGACCATTGTGGCATAAATATCTTAACAAAGAATTATGTAACAAAAGTCTAAAATTCATTTTAAAACGGCTGCATTTTGTACAACATTGTTGTGTAACTCTGTGCCAGTCCACAATGGACCTTGAAATGTAGCTGAAAACAAGCTAGTAGCATTGGGTTTAGTCATCATCATGAGCTGGGCTGAATGGTTTAGGTGTTGAGCCTGTGTGTGCGTACAGCTGCACAGTGTTGCTCTGCTTCTCGCTCTGTCTCTTCGTTGTACCTCGCTGCCTTTACACGGCGCATGCCGCCTGTTATGCAACACACCAGTCCGGCACAAAAGGAGGAGACACGATTCGGATGACCCGTGGCAGACATGTCCAGCATTACGTCGGCCGATTGTTTATATCCCTCTCGCGGATGCAAAGCTCTGATATTATGTCCCTCGTTCCTCATTGCTGTCGCGGACGCGTGCGGGAGTATTTGTGCTCCTCGTCTCTCCGCTCCTGCCTCACCCAGCAGTCCCGTCAGCTCTTGGCTTCTAACGAATCTAATTATGGCGCTCGATCTAGTCTCATTCCAGTGCCAAAGGGAACTGAAGCCGCTTTGGATCTCAGGCAGCTCTGACGTCAGATCAGGTGGTGACCTTGATGGCTGATCTATGTGTCTTTGTCAGCGTAGAGCAGTGTGTTGCAGAAAGGAGGGGCTGTGAAGGGGGGGGGGGTGATTCATTTATCCCCACGGCAAATCTTAAATTGTTGGCTCTCAGGTCGTTTTATAGCTGGGGGCCAGAGGGTGTCTGGGTGATGACGCGGGGTTCGGCCCTCCCTCCTGAGCAGGTGGTCAAAGTAGGGGCCGGGGCACGCCGGTCAGAGCCGGGCTGGACCAGGTCATGCTCTGCGTCAGCCTATTACACGCCGTTTCCAAGGACAGGAGACGGAGAGAAGATTTGAGGAAGACATGTGTGGGGATGCGTGAGCACGTTTGCTCCTCTCGGTGAAGGCAGGATAAATGAAGAGCGTTCAGAGGAGGACTTGCAAAAAAAACCCCAAATACAATACTGCAAATGTCATAGACAGTGGGGCAATCCATGATGTAAGGGTCATGGATCTACATGATATGAATATATCTGGAAGAGAATTTACATTTTTACAGTAATACATATTCATGACTAAAATATTTTTCCCCCTGCAAAATGACTAACACAGAGAAAAAAAGCAAGACGAGGAATTCATAAATAAGCAGATTAGCACGGAAGGAGAGCTGCTCTTCGTTGATACGTGAGTGTGAGCTGGAGGCTCTCGGGCTACAGCCACCATAAAATGCAGTCCATCTACCGTTTAGTTCAGGGGGCTGAGAGAGGACTGCTCTCTGAATGGCTGCTGAGGATGCAGATGCTGTCTCACTCTGCCTCCTCGCTCCAGCTTCTGTGTGGAAGCCGCTCTCTTCTCCTCTCTATCTGTCGCCCCCCCCCCCCCCCCCCCCCTCCTCCTCCTCCTCCTCCTCCTCTCCATCTTCTGCCCAGCTCCCTTGCTCTGGCTCCTCCACCCTGCTTCTCCTCTGCCTGCTGCTGCCACAGTTGCTGCCTGCCTGCTTCGCTTGCTCTCCATCCCCGCCGTTTTTCCCCGCCTCGCCTCTCTCTGCTGTCCTCCCTGCTCGGCCCCGGGATTATGAAATTTTCAGTAGCTTTGCAGCAGTGCAATCATGCGTTACAAAATAAAAGAAAAGAGGACTCTAGATATGAAATTTTCTGTGTGTATGACTGTATGAATGATGACTATATATTGGCAAATGATTTATGTTAACCTGCGTCTCTCAGTCTCAGTCTGTGCATGTGGCGGCCATGCAGAAGCGCTCTGCTCATGATGGTCGTATTTAACAGAAACGTCAGCCAACCAGAAACTGGGACACGTCCAAGTGTGTCATTACATTTGACCACAGGTTTTTCCTGGGGAGGCTTATGGTATACACGATACTATGGAAACTCTGGGAGACACAGCTGTTCTGACCCTCGAAGAATCAGTTCATCTATTCATGCTTGATTTAGGCTGCTGACCCACCTCTTGATTTAATTTGATTTAATTCAAATCAACACTAACGGTTGTCTCCCCTGGAGATCTCTCCCTGCCTTGTTTCAAACACCCCACGGTTCTCATTCTACTAGCATTGCATTGATTAGCTGTAGACATGTGGCAGCAGCACCCATCTTTCCTGCTCCTGCTCTTTGCTCTCCCTCTTTACCCCTCAGCCACTGGCTTTGTGGTACTTAATGTAGTGAGGGATGCCTTGTTAAAAGCACACGAGCCCATATCACTCGTGCAAATGCATGGTTTCATTAAAGTTTCATGGAAATCGCCATGTTTTATTTAGGCAATTATGAGGTTATCCACAGAAAGTGGCCTGCCATCTCCCCTGGCTTGTTTCCTCCTCTGTGGGGTTGGGCAGGGCAGCACCGAGAGCCTGGGACAACCTGCAAATACCGCAAACATCTCAGTTGTTGAGTAGATATGAGTAAACACTCATATTGTGTTTTCTAAGATGTTTAATCCAGATATGTAATTCAGGTTTTCACTGTGAAATTGTGTTAGAATTATTTGCTCTAGCTAAGTCTGTTTTGTTTGTGTGCACTCTTTTTTGCTGTTAATTAATCCCAACTCTCCTTTTCTCCTTTTTTTCTCTCCACAGACATTTATAGTGCTGAATAGAGGGAAGACAATCTTCCGTTTTAGTGCCACACCTGCCTTGTACTTCATAAGTCCTTTCAATCTGGTTAGGCGAATAGCTATTAAAATTTTGATACATTCATATCCTTTGAAAGTTTGCTGTTAATAGCACTGCAAGAGGCTTTCCTGTTCATGTGCATAATTCACGATGATATGTTCTGTCTCTGTGCTCGTACTTCTATTGATGTTGTCAGTGATTCGTGCTGCTGGAGAGGGTCTGTGTGTTACAGTCAGAAGAATTCCTCACATGCAAGACTGTACATGATGCAGTGGCCATTTTATTACTGAAGTAAAAGGCTGGCGTTCATGATGAGTCATCCTTAACAGTAAACAGTGCCAGACCTTCTCAGTTCAGCGATTAACTCCATGTTGCTCCTGTCTTTGTTTCGGAGAGCCGTTAAAGATGCACTAGGAGGAAGTAGAACCTTCTATCCAATCCTTCTGTCCAATAAAAAGCCAAAAGAGGCATAAGTAAAATCTGATAGGCTGTATAAAGGAAAATGACATCTAAAACCTGACTCATAAAGAAAAATAACTGAGAAGCTATCTGCTGGCAGCGGTTAGTTTGGCAATATTTTATTACTTTAGCTGGATCAAAATCACGGTGAGATATTTAAATTATGTGTCAGAATCCATTTTTTTTTTATTCAGGGATTCCTCTGGTTTGTCTAAAACTTTTCTTTGCTTTATCCAAAAGAATCTCAATGAACATGAAAATCGGAGACTTAGATCTAGTATTATGAGTTAGGAATTGGCTACTTACAGTAAAGATGGAGGAAAAGGACAAAAAGCCTTGTAAATAAGAACAAGTGAGTCAGTGCAATGCAGACCAACCACCCATAGCAGACAATAACAAATAATAATATTTTGAAGATATAATAGTGATAATTGAAGAAAACTACCCATGTAAATTCCATTGTAGACTTACAGGGCACTGGATGGAAGGGGCGTTTTTGTTATTGTTGTTGAGTTATTGAGACTGTAAGCTCTAAAATGTGTTACAGAAGAAAGGAGGAAATCCTTATGGTATTGATGTACACTGTTCCTGTTACAATATCCAGCACACGTCTTGTTGCTGCACTCAGGCTCTTTCATTGTTCTGATGTCATTGTCCAGTGAAATATGACTTAGAACAAATAGCTCCAAACAAATCAATATGTTTCTTTCAACACACGTCCAAACAAATTAACCAAATTGATTAAACTCATTTGTATTTTGTGCCCAGGAGGTGTTTTAACAGAATTTCAACTGGTTGAAAAGAGAGTGAAAATTGATTTTTGACTTTCAGACTGAATATCAACTAGTCGTCATCACTGCTGTCAAGACGTGCTGTATGCAATCAGCTTTTCATTGTTAACTGCCAGCCTTAACAGTGGTACAACAGAATTGAGTAAAAATGCCATACAAGGCCTTCTTAACACCACGCTTTTGACTTAAAACATACTAAACTCTAAATGTGCCAAAACACACAGTAGCTGACTTTCTCTTTTTGTCCCTGATGGCAAATGTAGGTAATGTACTATTTAAGCCTTTTGTTTGTGATTGTTAGCCAAACTTTAACATAATTCCTTGTTTTAAAAGGCAGCAGCTCCAGTTATTACCGTGCCTCTGGGTTACTCTAGCGCTAACGCTGAGGTTCTCTCGGTTTCCTCTGAGAGTACAGCTCTCTGCACTGAGAGCCTAAAAGCCTCACTGCCTACCATTGTTTTAATCATGCCTTTGTATTTCCGCAAAATATAGCGCATTTGAATATTTCATGACAAAAATGGTCCTTGTGGTGGTGGACACACATAAGCACCATGTGTTAAGTGCTCGTGTGAGTTGTTATGACTTCAGGCTGTGGTATGCTGAGGGCCGCTCAGACAGACAGGCTTCACATATTGTAGAAGGTACATTATGAACGGTACAATTTTACATAGTCCTTTTTTTTACAAGTCGTTCTAGGTTTGATGTATGTGTATACATGTTCCATATTTTCCTTAATTCCCTCCTCACTCTTTTCAGCATGATCATTATGTGTACTATTTTGACCAACTGTATATTCATGACCTTTAGTGATCCTCCCGAGTGGTCAAAGCAAGTAGAGTAAGTACAGTTCTTATATTCTCTGCCAGTGTTAATAATGCATGCTAACCAAACACCCAGCCAATATGTCATTTTCTTTCAAATATATATTCATGTTGTTATATTATGGTCTACAACCCTCTCACTCTGCTTCTTTTGCTTATGTACTAAATGTAAATCTGGTACTCAAAGCACATAAACAAGGAACCTTGATAGATTCATGTGAACATATTATGCAGTGAACCAGAGGCTGAGGATATATAGCATTGGGAGAACATAACATACAGGGAACATAATGTCCATAATATCCATGATATCAGAACCATAAGACTCAAGAAAAAAATTACAGTCAGAGAGCATTAAAATATGAAGACCTAGGAACATATTACTTGAGGAATGTAAATATCCTCTTTGCAGCCACAGTATTTATTATTTAGTTAGACTGCAAAGGCTGGAAATTTAGATTGATGCTTGTTGGCTGTGTCATGTACGTTCATTTGATGTTGCAAAAACTGAGTCAGTCCAGTTTAAACCACACTATTGAAATAGATTTAAACATGACTGAATTACTGGGAGACATAAATTCTTGCACCCGGCTAACATGTTCAGTCAGTTTGCTTGAGCAGATATGTTGAAGTGTGCATACCTTGCAGGTCATGTTCCCTATTTGACCCAAAAATCACAGACACATTTGGGACATGGAAGAGGATCTTCTTTTTAAAAAAGCTGTTAGGCTGTGCATATTGCTCGACTGAGCAGGAGTTTGTCTTGAGCCAAGTTTCCCTAACAACCAACCGTGCTGACATGCCAAAAGAGTACAAAACTAACAATCGGACCATATCATCCCTTACCATATGATAAATGAACAGGCCTCCCTGCCACATCTGCAAGATCTGCACAGTGACTAAATGCCAGATGCTAAACTCGGAGCTGCATGTGAAGAAACTGGTCTCTGAAAATGACATGTTGGCTTAATGTACTGTTTTCTAGTTTATCCTGTCTTTGCTTCTAAATTTATCTTTTCCTGGGTGTTTTAACAACTAATGAGGGAGCAGGCTTTGATCCAGCGAGTTGAACTGAATCTGTCAATGCTCTTGTCTTTCAGGTACACATTCACTGGAATTTATACGTTTGAGTCTCTTGTAAAAATCACTGCCCGTGGATTCTGTATAGATGGGTTTACATTCCTAAGGGATCCATGGAACTGGCTGGATTTCATGGTCATTTCAATGGCGTAAGTATTCTTCTTGAGATTAAACTGTCTGGAGATACTTTGTTAGAAGAAATGGGTAGAGGTTTAGCAGTGTTACTGATCGTCTTTCTTCCTTTCTGACCTTAGTCTCTCTTGCTGTCTGATGACCCATCTTCAATGTTTCCTCCATTTCTCTGACATGTCTTTGGTCTTTCTCTTTGGGAACTGAAACTGGTTACCATCTGACACTGTGAAGCCCCCCTGAAAACATCCACATACCATTCAAATAAATCCACATAGTCTCTTCCTGGCATCCAGCTCTCCTATTAATCACCACTGTGCTCTCAGTCCTCCGGAGTCCACATGAGAAGAAACACACATCCGAGTGATCATATAGAATACATCATTCCGAGTTTGTTGATCTGTCACGTGGACCATCTGTGTGTGAATTCACATTTTCACCTTCTATCTGAATGTAAATAATGAGCTGTTGTAACTGTGGTTTGATCCTGCAGGTATATAACAGAGTTTGTAAACCTAGGCAATGTCTCAGCTCTGCGCACGTTCAGGGTGTTGAGGGCATTGAAAACTATTTCTGTAATTCCAGGTAAGACAGGATGGGGTGGGGGTAGGTGGGGCGGTGTCGGTGTTAGGTGTGTGTGTCTTTCTTTCCTTTACCTTCCACCCTTCTCCTCAGTGGACAGGCTCTGTGAGTGGCGTCGTCTCCTCCTGGTTCGGTGGTGTTGTGCTCTTGGCGTGTGTGGTTTTTGTCATCGTGTTGTTCTGTGTGTGATCCTTCCCCTATTTCAGATATATAACAGAGTTTGTGGACCTGGGCAATGTATCTGCGCTGAGAACGTTCAGAGTTCTCCGAGCATTGAAAACTATCTCTGTCATTCCAGGTGAGACTCAGTTTAAACACTAAGGCTGATCCTCTCACCCTTTCTTTTTCACTCACTATTATTATGATGACGGTTATGATTTAAGCAAGAACAAAAGAATTGGAGACAACCATTTTTTGATTTATTTTTCCTCCAAAATTATCAAAAATGGTACTAATACATTTTTGATAGGCTTTGCAGTCTCCTCTAGGGCCATCATAAGTGTCTGCACTCTCTGCCCCAGTAGCACTCTGATTGTGAGTCTTGTCTCCGAAGCAGCTGTGTTTCTATTAAGAAATAGCTTTACCCCCCCTAATTTTACTAGCAGTGGCAATGAGGAAATGTCTCTTTTTGTAGAATAGAAATTTCTGCATTCTTCTCTTTTTTCAGAGAACCACCAGGTGATGCAGATAGAAATAGAACGTTTAAATAGGTGTTATCTTTCACATGTTTAACAAGAGACCAAATTGGGAAAACAAGGTTCCTGTTACTGGAACCCCAAAAATAGCCTGGTCTATGTTATACAGTACAAGAAAGGACATAGCTTTCAGAGAGATCCCATAGAATACACTTATTATAAATGTATGAAGACTGCCAAGCCTAGTTTGTGAACATATCTCTTATGCTGCATGATGCTTTCGGTCACTTGCTTTATAATATAAGCCTATTAAGAGCTTGGCTGACAAATGGCATTGAAAGTTTGATTTGCCCTCTTCTTGTTTCTTTTCCTTTTTGTTATTTTTCTTTCAGTTTTTTTGTTTTTGTTTTCTAACAACCTACTGGAATGAAACATCCTTCAGAAATCAATGTGTTCACAATATAGAGGCTGGGAATCAACATCTGTTCATACAACAATGACAAACAGATGTTGCATTTAGTCAGTAGAGCAACTAGCGCTGGCTTTTTGTTAAACAGGGACACCAACTATGTGAAATCTGACAAAAGAAATACCAGTCTATGTGCAAAAAAACTGGAATATAGTAGCATCTTTATATGGTGGATGAAAATGTTTGGAAAATTAATTGCGCTCCCATGTTACAACCCAATTCTTCAAGGAAGTTATTGGCTTAGCTTAAAGACTGCAAACAGATAGCTTCGCTTTGTCCAAAGAGGCAAGACGTGACTCTGTCCACAATTATTGACCATCTTTCTCGAGGAGCAAACATAAACAACAAAGAAAAGGATTATAGAATCCATTCACAATGATATAGCAACATTTCTTGAGCATTTAAATTACACATCATGTGGCTTTCTCACCTGAAATCTGCATTTGTTAGTTAGATGTTCAGGATCCGTGTTGCCACCCTGTAATGAGGAAAATTTTCTTGCACTGAAGTGACAAGGTGTAAACGTCCACATCATAGCTCTCGCCAAAACTTTTGTCAGGTTTGAGTTAATATACACAACAAAAGTGAAACTGCTCTTATGGCCCCCCTTTTGATTAAGAAGTCAACTTCAGTGATGTCTGCTGCAGACAAGACAAACACAAAGTCCAGTTCAAAAAGGAAATATTCTTTAAAGCTGTAAGAGATGTCTTAAAACACTAATGTCACAAGCAAATAAGACGACAGTGTTCTTGCTAAAGGTATATATATATATGTGTGTAATGGTTGTTAAATCTCTTTAAGCCAAGACTTTGTTGTACTGAACTTTTAATGAGAGTTGATTGGAAACCTTGGTATACAGTATAAGCTCAGTTTATAGTTCAGTAATGACCTCATTACATTTCTAGTTCAAAGAAGAAGTGTCAGGACGGTGAGATGTACGCTGCAGCATCAGCGCACTAGAAAAATCCCTGTCGCTCAGAATAATATGCAGTTGATCGTACAATTCTGGCACCAGCGACAACTTTTTACCTCTTAAACAAGGCTTTTCCTTCTCCCAGTTGACTGCACATGCAGAATAACTCCACCTGTCAGCACCTCCACAATGGATGATGAAAACATTTTATTTTATTAGTCCATTAAAAAAAAAGGAAACAAAATGTGGGGAACTCCATGATGAATTATTTAAAGACAAGTAGCCTTTTTATCTTCACAGGTATTTAGATGGTATTAGGACAGAGTCAGGCTAGCAGTGTTGTCTCGTTTCCGGTGTTTAAGCCAAGCTAAATGAACTGAGCCATATTCTACTGGAGGTATTGATCTTTTCCTGTAAGGGTCCTAACCGACATGCATTTCCCAAAGCGATTATTCTCTTTAATAGATCATTTAACTTTATTGGTTTGTTGTAAGTATGGTGGAGCATGTAGTTTACTCTGTGTGAAGAGATTTATTTTAAAATAGTGCTTCTCCAAAATGGATTTTCTAACAAATCAAATATTCTCCATGGGATCTACTCAAAAACTTCAAAAAGGAAAACTGATCAGAAAGACTCTTTATTCATGTAAACTGAACTTACTGAGCTAAGAAAGTTCACCGAACATTGTCCCGACACGAAAGCCTTAATTCAGAGCATTTAAAAAAAAAAACTTTCTACACGTACAGCTGGTAAAGTTCACTGTACCTGATGAGGCTGAATAGAAAAGCCGCTGTGCGTCACTCTGCCTCCATGTGTGGACCCACATGAACGCTGCCTGAGGATGCCTGTTCGGAAGGTAAAGCGATTTTTGTCTTCAGTGAAACTGCGAGACAGACTGCAGGGTCACGCTTTGGGGAGTCAACGCTTTCCTAAGGACACCTCAAACAAGACAGTTCAAGAAAGTGCCTGCACAGGCACTGGCATTGAATTGCTCCTGTTCAGCCTTGGAGTTTAAATGACCTGCATGTAAATTCCAGCCCCCTGCCTGTGCCCCTATCCCTCTCATGGCCCTTTGTTGTGCTGCTGTGCTCTCTTTCTTATGGATTTCTTCACTTTTCTGCAGTTTTCCCCCTCTTTTTCACCCCATCCATTATTGGCAGGGATCGCAAAATTCCAGTTTCCAATAATTATGTTTATATATAATCTGTATTGATCATTGAGAAAAGAGTGGGAAAGCTTCTATTTTCTTAAAAAAGATCTTTGACTGTTTGTTGTTCCTAGAGATGTTTTAATGTAATATGTCAGTTTGGTGCAAAAATATACTAGTAGACTGTTATTAGACAAAAATATATTTATTCTTTAAAAAAATTCAAATCAATTAGTTTGGCATTGCACTTTGCATTTGCTCTGATAATTCACAGATTTGACTATAGAATAAATCCTCTTAAAAGTTTGATCTGATCCAACAGGATAGCTTCCTGTCAGGCCCAGTTCGAATGAAAATCTGGATATTTCCCAGTGAGAGAATAAAAGCAAAATATCTAGAAGAAGTGAACAAACCAGTAACGTTACAGCTGCTGCATCACCTGTGTGGTTTGTGTACGTGTGTTTGTGGCTGCCCTCAGGCCTGAAGACCATCGTGGGTGCCCTGATCCAGTCCGTGAAGAAACTCTCAGATGTGATGATCCTAACGGTCTTCTGCTTGAGCGTCTTTGCCCTCATTGGTCTCCAGCTCTTCATGGGCAACCTGCGCCACAAGTGTGTGATCTGGCCAATCAATCACAATGAGACTTACCTGAACAATGGCAGCAGGGGCTTCGACTGGAACGAGTACATCATGAACGACAGTAAGTACAGCACGGCTTCACCATCGGTGACCTGGCAGCCCTGTGGGAGCATGAGTCATTCCATATGCTTGGGGATGAGAAAAACAACATGTCATTTTGGCAAAAGGAAATGGATTGAAATTAAGTGTGTTGTGTTAAAATATACAAGAAAACTTGTATAGTTTGTAAGCTAGAAGTTGGTCTGAAAGCATTTCCCCATAAAAATAAGGGCAGCTCTGATGATATAAGTGGAAGAACTCAAAATGGCTTTTTGATTTTTCTGCAGCAAATTTCTACTTCCTGCCTGGCCAATTAGATGCTCTACTTTGTGGGAACAGCTCAGATTCTGGGTGAGTTTCCTCCTCCCTCCTCCCAATGCTTATACTGCATGTAACTGCATGTAGTCAGACTGCATTAGGAGTAAATAGTGCTGAGTCATTTTGGATTCCCTGTTGTCTCTATGTGCCTCTTTTCACCCCTCAGCCGCTGCCCGGAGGGCTATACATGCATGAAAGCTGGTAGAAATCCAAACTACGGCTACACCAGCTTTGACAGCTTTGGTTGGGCCTTCCTGGCTCTCTTTCGACTCATGACACAGGACTTCTGGGAAAACCTTTACATGCTGGTAAAGCAGATGTTTTCTTCTCAGTTCTTAAAAAGACTCCATTCTGATAACAGCAGCGCCAGTAGTATAAGAATGATGCACTTGTAACTGATCCCCAAACAGTAGGTATTCATATAAAAATGTGTTTGAGTATTGGGGTTGCATACCTAGATAAATGCAAAAAAAAAACTAAATGAATGAAAATGTATCTTTTGGACCAGATTTTTTTCACATTATTTAAAAAAAAAAAACTAATAAATTAAATAAACAAAGAGATAACCAGTAACACATACAGTAAAAATAGAACATTTGTTAGAACGGTGCTGTCAACTGAAAGATCCCGTCATGTCTGAATCTATTTAAAAGGAAAAAAATGGCAACAATGAAGCAATAGATATCTTGTGAGACGCTGATGCCACCCTCTCAGGTCAACAGACCATTCTTTGCTCAGTTTCTCTGAAATTGTGAAAGGCTCCTGAGCTGAAAAAGTGGATGGAAGAAAGAATGAAATATTAGTGTGACCAGTGAGAGATGAGATCCGATGAGATGTGGTAACAGCTAACCAATATTTCTATTTTTGCTTCCATCTTTAAAATGCAGCACCTGGCTTCTGTCTCTCTCTGCTATCAGATTTCTATAAATTCTTATGTTGACGTGCATAGGTTTGATGTTGAATGATCGTTGTCAGTGCTGAGATCCTGGTGGCTGTAGTTTGTCCCTGTATTGCTGCTGGGGGACAGCTCTCTTGTGGTGTGTTTCTGTTGTATTCATGTACATTTCATTAGTCTGTGGGACTCTCATGGGTGCCAACTAAATTAATAATTGTTCTGAGAGTAAATGTCACCTCTATATGTTAAAGTAATACCATTTTTGGTTCAGAAAATGGTTTGAATTTCCAGAGGTCTTATTGCAAGATGTTAGAAAAATGGGTTATTCAATATCAATACGTCTAAATGAATTTAGTGGCAGAATAGGGGTTGCCTGATCAAAATGAATTTAGGCATTGTGGACAAACATGGAGAATAAATTAGAAAACCTTTTCCTGACTTCTCTTATTAGCAACGCTACAACTCCAAGTTCCTCAACCAGTGCATGGTTGTTTGGCCATGCACTGGTTTTTACTGAACATGATCAGGTGTAAAAGCTGTCTCAGTGTTTCAAATGTAATATTTTGTAAATTGCAAAATATGCCTGATGTATTTCCCTTAACAAAAGTAGACTGCGTCGTTCTTTTGTGTGTACCAAATAAGTGATTGGGGTTATGTACTCGATGTCATGGATCTGCTATTTCGCTCTTTTCTCATTCAAACCTTCCTTCTCCACATGTGCTGCACGGACACTTTAGACGTTGCGGGCTGCGGGGAAGACCTACATGATCTTCTTTGTTTTGGTGATCTTTGTGGGCTCGTTCTACTTGGTGAACCTGATTCTGGCTGTGGTAGCCATGGCCTACGAGGAGCAGAATCAAGCCACCATGGAAGAGGCCCTGCAGAAGGAGGAGGAATTCAAGGCCATGCTGGAGCAGCTCAAGAGACAGCAAGAGGAAGCCCAGGTCAGTTCTCTGCTAAATGGAGGCATAAACTACTCTTGAACCGTGTTACAGTTTTGTTCTGACTTTATCTGTATGTTTCTCGGTAGCAAAACAACATGGCAACGTCTGCAGGCACAGTGTCTGAGGACGCAATAAAGGATGATGGAGGAGGGCATCTGTCGTGCAGTTCCTCTGAGATGTCAAAGCTCAGCTCTAAGAGTGCCAAAGAGCGCCGCAATCGTAAGAAGAAGTGGCGTCAGAAAGAGCAGGAGAAGGAGAAGGGGGACAGCGAAAAGTTTGTCAAGTCAGAGTCAGACGACGGAAGCAAAAGGAGCCGTTTCCGTTTCCCCGACAACCGTCTGGGCCGAAAGTCTTCCATTATGAACCAGGTGAGAGTGGTGAAAAATATGTCCCCAGGTCTCAGTTTTCTCTGTAAGTACATTATATGAGGGGTAAGGAGGTAAAACCAAAGATATACCTCTTTATTTCTGCAGACGTCCACTTCCTTCATCCAGTCCATTTGATCAATGCAGTTTGGGAATGACCCTTAGTAACTGGATTTTACATTTCAAGATGTTATTTTTAATTCTTTGAGCTCCTGATTTAATTACATTTTTAATGCAATATTTTCTTAATAAGACACATACTGGCAATGAAGAGTTTACTCTACCAAATGGTGAATCGGGACACTAAACCCTATGAAAAGGCTGCACATGTATTTTACCAGCGATGCCTTTTTTCATACTCTGCACTGCCAGATGAGCAGTAACTTCGATTCAGAATAGCCTCTGTGGTTTTTCAAAACGTTCACATGCAGAGGAACATACCGGAGATATAGAAGGACACGTCAAGGTCCTGAATTATTCACTGTAAAAATATGAATGTTTCAAAGGCAGCAGTCCTACCGTTGTGTTTGAGCTTAACTTGCGCTCCAGTGGTGCCTCTTCATTATAGTGTAGCTTTAAACAGAGACATTAGGCTTTAAAATCTATCAGAAGCCTGGTATTCATTATTTCTTGCTGTTCACTCATCATGTACACAAGTAAAGAGAGAAAGTCAAAAGTAGTGAATGTTTTGAATGTCAAAAGTAGTTTTTTATGTGCAGAACCCTGAATTAGTTTTAGCTGCACGCATGTCTCGGTCTGACCTTGATAGTGTACCGTGTCCTGGACCCGATTATGCATTTCTCTCTTTATTAATAAGTCACAAGATATCTCTGGTGCAACACTGACCGTCTTGGGAAATTGCTCTGGTTGCATCAAATTTCCCACACACTGATGGCAAACACCATCTAAATGATGAATTGTAATTCAAAATTGTCACGAGCCACATCAGTCACAGACAAACATCTTCTGTCTTCATCTCCCTCTGCCCCCCCCCCTCCTCCACCTGCAGTCCCTCCTGAGCATCCCGGGTTCGCCTATCCTCTCCCGCCATAACAGCAAGAGCAGCATCTTTAGCTTCAAGGGCCGGAACAAGGATGTGGGCTCGGAGAACGAATTCGCTGACGATGAGCACAGCACGGTGGAGGAGTGTGAGGAGCGCCGGGGCTCCCTGTTCAGCCCGTACCGGCGGAACAGCTACAGCGGCTTCCACGGAAAGAGGAACAGCACGGTGGATTGCAACGGGGTGGTGTCACTCATTGGCCCAGGGCTCGGTGGACGCCTTCTGCCTGAGGTGAAAATAGATAAGGCAGCTACTGACGACAGTGTAAGGAAGTCTATGAGTAGACCTATCTAGGCATGGCCCCTCTCTCGTCTTTCTTTTTTGCTCTTTTTCTTCTACTATATCATCTTTGCAAGTCCGTATGTATCTCTTGGCTAAGCGCTCGCGCATCCCTTCCCCAAATCCCTGCAGTGTATGCTGCCCTCCAACACTAGGCAAAGGATGGAGAAATTAGATGTAGTTAAATGAGTAAATACTCAGCCCTGCTTTTCATAGATCACCATAACTGGGTCTGCCAGTGACTTCCAGTCAATTTTGTTTGGGATATTAAATGATGAACGTTTTTTAAATGTAGTCAAACAGACATGATTCTGTCAGTCAGGTGATTCATCACATTGTTTTAGATTTTGAATCAAGGCTTGGTTAAGAACTCAAACTCTATTATGTTTTGGGTGACATCAAGTTCCTCTTTAACAGGAAATTTTAACTAAGGAAAACATAATGATGGGTTAGCAAGGTCCGGTGTGTTAATATGTTCCTCCAGGCATTCAGATCCTCTGCTGTGTCTGAGTAGATCTACAGTAAGAGGTTGAGGAAATAAAGGGGCCCCAATACTATAGAGCCACAGACATTTTTATCTCCCTCCCTAATTTCCCCCAGTATTCTTCCAGAGCAGATATAAAAGTAACACACACACTATCCTGTTAGCCATTTAGAAGAAACCTTAAGAAACAATGGAGGGCTGCTGTCCTTGTCTGTCTTTACCTCTCTCTGTTTTTCCAAATTCTCCCTGGTCAACAGTAGTAAATTAGTTGTGTCTCATTCTAGTTAGCATGGTAGTTTCAATTCTTAAAGTAGAAAAAGCATGACGTAGACAAGTAGAGCAATGGTTATGTTGTTTGTAATTTTCCTCTCCGTCTCTTTGACTTGGAGCATGCTCATGCATGACAACTGGATGGATCTGAACAACCTGCCTCCATATGATCTCTTTACAATGCTCTTGACTTGATGGTTGCAATATAAGTTGTATGGTTTCAATGTAGGAAGATATACTAGCATAAATTTCCAAATGACTTAAAAATGGCCAGATTTGGGAGACAATTTGTAAAGCAACCTAATGATTATATTGCAATGGCAGCAAAGCCTCCATTATTGCATGACACGACTGAAAATGCATTCATGCAGAAGCAGTTCTCCCTGCACAATATCTCACAATCCATTTATGATCCAATTGGGATGAGCAATTACATTCAAACACAATTAGGTCAAGTAGCTCTAGATCACTGCTCCCACTTTGGCTGAGACCTGCATGCATTTACAGCATACACACATCTTCCTTGAAACCAGCATTGAAATAGAAAATGATGAAACATGACCTTCCTCCAATCCCAAAAATCCGATTCTCAACTACTTTATCCTGCCAATGCTGTTGTGCACTTCCCTCCGCCGGCCACCGGTGGTGATGTGGGATGGTGTTCATGTCCTCTCCATGGGTGCTTGATTCTTCCTCTCCTCCTGACAGCCAACTACTGAGGTTGAGGTGAAGAAGAAGCTGTCGGGCTCCCTGATGGTGTCTGTGGACCAGCTCAATACCTCCTTTGGGCGGAAAGAGCGGGCCAACAGTGTCATGAGCGTCATTACCAACACACTAGTGGAGGGTACTGCCACTTTAACCCAGCTATTTAACCTGCTCTCTCATTATTCTTTAACTAGGGCTGCTCTCATTGGTTGAATTAGTTTGACATGAATTTCCTGCTTATCTGCTTTGCATATCCAACAGTACCAGATACATACAGTGCATAAAAATTTTCTATCATATTGTACCATTGCATGCAGAATGCTCTTGCACGTAACTATTTTTGGTTTTGATGTGTGGTCCGCGCTATGTCTTCAGAGCTGGAGGAGTCTCAGCGCAAGTGTCCACCATGCTGGTATAAATTTTCTAATACATTCCTGATCTGGGAGTGCTCCCCCATGTGGATTAAGATCAAGGAGATTGTAAACCTGATAGTCATGGATCCCTTTGTGGACTTGGCCATCACTATCTGTATCGTCCTCAACACCCTCTTCATGGCCATGGAGCATTACCCCATGACCCCTGACTTTGAGGACATGCTCTCTGTAGGCAATCTGGTGAGTTGAAATGTGTGTCCTTTTTTTTCTTTGTTTTTAATTCAATTCTGTTTTTTTTTCAGTAGCTCACACAGAGCTGTTATCTTTGAATCGTAATTGGCAGCAGTTCCACAGCGTTCCTGTTTCCCTGGATCACATGCAGACAAACGTTCCCGTTCCTTTCTCTCTCTGTCTTTTTCCTCTTTTCTCCCTCTGAATATGTGAAGCTGCTGTTCGCTTCAGGGGGACCAGCCTGTATCTCTGCTGGTTGGCAGACTGCTGGGAGGCCGGCATTAATATTTCATGGAGACTGATCAATGAACTGCACTAAAATGGAGCCCCAGTCACAGCTCAGTTAACTCAACCTGGTCATGTTTCACTTTTAGGGTTTATGTTTGATCATCTATTTGTCTCAGATGAGTAAATCTGTTTGGCACCATGTTTGATTTCATTTGACGCCAGCTGCCCTAAACAATATTTACCCACTACTGCAATTTACCACTTGCCTCTAGTGCTTATGTGTCTGTGTATTCTCAGTGTGTACATTCATGTGCCTACATATGGACTCACAATGTCATTTGCAGTTCTTGCAAGGGGATAAAAATGGATGTAAATTTCAAGGTCACCTTGACACAATACAAGTTACACGCAAACAAACACACAAACTCACATGCTTTATGTCATGCATATATTCATTTCTCCATGTCAGCTCGGTGATTGACAGTAGTCCCCGGTGAATCATTAAAGCTGTTATGACCACAGAGGAGTTGATTCTATTCACAGCATATGTGGAGCAGCTGGAACATACACTGAACATTATCTCCATGAGCTCCCTTTTTAAACTGCTTTTTTAAAGTAAATGTATCCTGCTGATGGAATAACACAAATTAGTAGATGTGAGTAGCTTTGTTCCAAAATCCTACGAATAATCCAGTGAATCATATATACATTAAACAGTTTGTTTAAAAGTGAATTTCCTTAAATGTGAAAGTCTGGCACTGACTACGTCTTGGTTGCCCTGTTTCACTTGCAGAAACCAATCAGGTGGTCATTTGGTGGTTTCCCTGAAATGTAATAAGTCCCTGGCTTATTGAAACGATTCTATCAATGTCATTAACAAAATGGGAGTGAAATAAAGCCCAAAAAAATGCAGACACAAAATGCAATAACGTTTAGGGTTTCACGGCATCACTTGAATGAAGCTACTCATGTAGCATGGTAAAACATGAAACAGTCCTGAGAACCCATTGACAGTGAATACAGTTATTACACTGATGAATGCAATAAAAAAACACATATAACAACATACTGAAACTCCATTGTCCTCTTTTAGTCACAGATCATTTAAAAAGGGAGCAGAGAGTGATTGGACTGATTCAGGAATAGAATAATCACTGTATTTAGAGGGCTGTTGGGCGCTCCAGGTCACACTAACCAACCAGCAGTAGAAAAGCTGTGTGTTCATACCGAGGACCCGCAGGGGTCATAATAATAGTGCAGAGTGACAAGTAATTACCTCAAATAATGACATTTCTCAATGTGATCATAAGATATCTATTTTTAAGCTCATTGTACCTTTCTTCTCTGGAACATATTATTCGACCAAGTGAATTTGTTCAAATCTGTCCTCTTCTACATGACAGGTGTTCACAGGGATCTTTGCAGGAGAGATGCTTTTCAAGCTCGTAGCCATGGATCCATACTACTACTTCCAAGAGGCCTGGAACTGCTTTGATGGCTTCATTGTGACTCTGAGTTTGGTCGAGCTGGCTCTGGCTGACGTTGAGGGCCTCTCTGTGCTGCGGTCATTCCGATTGGTAAATATTTATTTGAGGCCTTTTTTTAACAAACGTCAGTATAGATTACGTATGAGCATATCCTTCGGTCACATTAAGTGTGAATATTGTCTACCTCAAAATCACTAAACCGAATAGTTATCATAATTTTGACAGCACACTAAAGTGAAGTAACTGTTTGCAGACGTAAATATATGATAACTCAATCACCTCCCTCTCTTTCTAGCTGAGGGTGTTTAAACTTGCAAAGTCATGGCCCACCCTCAACATGCTAATCAAGATCATTGGTAACTCGGTGGGAGCCCTGGGAAACCTGACTCTGGTGTTGGCCATCATCGTCTTTATCTTTGCCGTGGTGGGCATGCAGCTGTTTGGAAAGAGTTACAAAGACTGTGTGTGTAAGATTGCAAGAGACTGCGAGCTGCCCCGCTGGCACATGAATGACTTCTTCCACTCCTTTCTGATCGTCTTCCGGGTCCTGTGTGGTGAGTGGATCGAGACCATGTGGGACTGTATGGAGGTGGCAGGCCAGGGAATGTGTCTCATTGTCTTCATGATGGTCATGGTCATTGGTAACCTGGTGGTGAGTGTCCAAGCTGGGTGGCTTTTGAGTTGTACTGACGAAATTGACGATTAGAGCTCATCAAGTTTATCGTTGTTTGTGTCAAGGTGTTGAACCTGTTCCTTGCCTTGCTGCTGAGCTCCTTCAGCGCTGACAACTTGGCTGCGACAGATGATGACGGTGAGCCCAACAATCTACAGATCTCCGTCATGCGCATCAAGAAGGGCATTGCGTGGATCAAGGCAAAGACGCGAGTGCTAGTTGCGAGTTATTTGAAGAAGTCGCCGATGGAGGACGAGCAGAAGCCCTTGGATGATATGTATGACAAGAAGCCAAGCTGTATTGCTAATCACACCGGGGTGGACATCAACCGTGACCTGGACTATGCCAAGAATGGCAATGGCACCACCAGCGGTATTGGAAGCAGCGTGGGCAAGTACATGATCGACGAAGACCACATGTCGTTCATCCACAACCCAAATCTGACGGTTTGCGTGCCGATAGCCGTTGGAGAGTCCGATTTTGAGAATCTCAACACAGAAGACTTCAGTAGCGAGTCGGACATTGAGAACAGCAAAGAGGTCAGAAATTACAAGTTTCACCTGATTCACCTGAAACACACTGAACATCACACTTTTTAAGCATTCATCTTAGCTGAAGCATGGAAATGTAGACTCTTCTCATTCAGCATAGAATCATAAGCTTCCTCACACAGTGACATTTTCTCTCCCTGAACTGAAAAGACATGGGTGTGGTTGACTCCTTTATTTTCCTCACACCATTACTCAATGGAGACATCTAGAGTGGGTCGGGAAAGCAGTGTGCAAGAATGAGCTCCCCCGATGAATGCCTTCAGATGAAATGTATTTACAATACTTTCAGAGCAGATTATCTGACATTTGATATTCCATTTCAGCCTTTATGTGGATGGTAAATGATAATGATTACTGTTAAGTCCATCTCAGCGTGCATGAAAAATATCTGTCTGAGCATTTTTTTAAAAGGAGCAAAGTGTCCATTTCTTGAGCAAAAGCTATTTGAAAATAACATGAAACATATATTTCCTGAGCATGTCTCCGGAGGCACAATTAACTCAGCTTTACCTTACTAAGCAATTTATGATTCTAAAAGAAATAAAACCAGAAATGTTTTTCATGTTCGTCCATGCACGCGCTCATAAATCTGCTTCTCTGCAGCTGGATGACACCAGTTCTTCAGAGGGCAGCACAATTGACATCAAACCAGACGTGGAAGAGGTGGTGGTGGTGGAGACGGTGGAGGAATATATGGAGCCAGAAGCCTGTTGGACAGATGGTGAGACTTCTGCATCCAATGCACACATTACCTCCACTCCACAGCACCCACACTCCCCAGGGCAGGGTGCACATTACAGGGGCAGGGTGAAGGAGAATTTCATTATGAAGGATCACTCATGCATGGAGACAGCTTATCAGTTTGTCTGTTCATCTGAGGCGTATCATACTATACTGATGTCTCACTATACATTTAGATAAACCTTTATGTAATAAAGACACATTGATGATTGATGATAAAAATTAGTTAGGACATCCCGTTGATATGTTGAAATATGGTAAATTCATATAATCTCTAAACTCAAGGGCTTCACTTACGTGAAGAAAACACATACCCCAAAAAAAGTAAACTTACAGCCTGATTCAGATGATTTTGGCTGGGTAAATCTTTATTGGAACATTTATCTAAAAAAAAAAAGTATTTTCAAAATGTAATAATGGTGCAAAATATTTAGTGTGCTTTTATGTCCTATTAGATAGACATAGGTATAGATAAGTTCACTATGAATATTTTCCAGTATCCATTTCAATATGCATACCAAAATGAAGGACTTTCTACTGTACTTACAATTGCATCTCATCTTGTCCTCTGTGTGTCCTCAGCTTGTGTGGCCAAGTATAAGTGCTGTGATGTTGACATCACTATGGGCTGGGGAAAACCCTGGTGGTTCCTGAGAAAAACCTGCTACTTGATTGTGGAACACAACTGGTTTGAGACCCTGATCATCTTCATGATCCTCCTCAGTAGTGGTGCCTTGGTAAGGGGGTATATTTTCGCCTTTTCTGTTGACATACAGAATGGACAGATACCATTGAGCAATCAGACAATGAGTTTTAACCCACAATCTACGTGAATTTCTCAGTGAAATAAATTTCCTCTGACTAAATTTGATAAGTAAAGACTGAATAAAGAACACTTTTTTAAGGTAGCTTAGTCTCCAGTGTGTCTGTAGTAGTAAGGAGGTAAAACAAGTCAATCAGCAGTGCAGCCAGCTGTGCTTGGAGAGGGCCTGTGGCGCTGGTGATTAATGGACCATCTATCAAACCAGGAGTATATTTCTGGGGACGATGGGGGTTGCGCTCACAAGAATGTCAAATACTACCAACATACAAACAAGAATGTCTGAAAACACTTGAGTAGAGTAAGTAGAATGGAGCAGGGTAATTGCTAAAATTTCAGAAAAGGTGCTTTTTCGTCCTGCAAGTTACTCCTGGTAAACAGCCACTTCTGGGGCTGTGGTTCTGTGTGTAATTACATTAGCAGAATCGTAAATCATCTTGTGTGATATTTCTGCTGCTGTCCTGGTCTTGGCTGACTTATGTTTTCTGTCTCTCTGCAGGCCTTTGAGGATGTGTACATTGAGCAGAGGAAGACCATTCGGATCATTTTGGAGTACGCAGACAGGGTTTTCACCTACATCTTCATCCTGGAGATGTTGCTGAAGTGGGTTGCCTATGGTTTTGTCAAATACTTCACCAATGCATGGTGTTGGCTGGACTTCTTCATTGTCGATGTAAGTCACCTTCCTTTTTTATCTTTGTTGAAGGCCAAAGTAATAAATTGTTCTTAAACTGCACCCTGGTCAAGCAGCATAAGGTCATTGACTCATAAAGATCATAAAAGAGTACATTTGACTCTGATGGTCTAGTAATTTTTTTCTGATTGGACTGTTAGAAACAAAGTTGAATGTTCAAAATATACCATATGGATAAATAATATGTTATTTTCAATTTTCTACTTATGTGTTGCATTTTGTTTTGACCATCGGGTGTGGTTCAGTTTAATTGGTCAGGATATTGAATATCTGCTTCATAGCTTGTACTTGGTGAGTGGGTGTGTTATTTAAAACAGAAAATCTTCTTCTTCTATTCAATCTTTCTATAAGGACAGTGTTTTTACAAGACTTTGCTGCAGTCTGTCCATTTCTAGCACAGTCATGCCTCTGTCACCTTTTACAACTCTATCCAGCAATGATTTGTATACATATGTGTGTATATATATATATCACTCTGAGATGCTTGATTATGAACAGTACTCTGTATATCAGCAGATTAATGAAAGGTTATGTATGCTACATCTAAATATGTCTTGATCTGTTCATACTTTGACAGATTTTGGCATATATGTATATTTTAGTTTAAATCAAATCTTGATTCATTACTGAGCACATTGTTCTTTTCAACAGACATATGTGTCCAATGCTAGATTCAGCTGATCTGTAATGTGAACTTATTGGTTCACTAACCATATTCAAGACATACTCAGAGAAATGGGATGTGTGAAAGATGTATTTCTGTAAAGCTGCTGTCTCCGCCCGTGGCTTTGACCTGTACAATGTTTGATATGTGCCTCTGTCCTTTCTCTCTGTGTACTGCTCTGCTCCCTGTGTCTGTCAAGACTGAAAGTCCAGAACCGGAATTCTTTCCTCTATTCTCTGACAGCCACACGTACCCACCAGAATAACCATGATTTTATCATAATGTGTTCATTTTACAAGCACATAACCTCAGATAGTAGGTCATGTTATTTAGACTACTTAGTCTCTTTGATTTTCTCTCTTTTTACAATTTTGAATAAATAAAACTTTGCTTACATGCTAATCATGAACCTAATATACAGAGAGTGGCACAGGTGGATAGAATAAGAATTTCCTTGATTGCTGACTTTCTCCTTGAAGTAACTACCTCTCCGCAGTGTCCAAAACCTCAGCCAATACCTTTGAATGGATTCCTGTCAATGGCCTGAAGTTGCCATGTTTGTTCATTTTAAGGTCCTTGTATCCCCCTCCACCCCCCCAGCCCCCCACCCAATACCCCCATTCAGCAAACTTGCATGTGTTTCCTATGGAAAGCGTACACTTTGTTTAGTTGCATCACTAATTATGCTTTCAAATAATCTTTGATGAACAGTTCACAACCAAAGCTCAGTTTATTGGAAACGTAGCATGCACAGATCTACATGAACTGAAGTCAAACCACACTGTTCTGATTTAGACTATCATCACTGCAGATTTCCTCCCTCGTGGTGCGTTGTATAGTCCGCCACTTGGGACAATGCGGGGTGTCATGTTTCCCAAATTCTGAACATGCTATAATGTCCCTCCTCCCTTCTTTACCCATCCTCCTTTCATTCCTTCTTAGAAGTGTAACATCAGGAATGTGGTGATATTGTGCTGAGATGTAATGATGGTGGGTGACAGGCGGTCAGCGGTAAGTTTGGTCTTCACTAGAACTCCCCCTTAAAGAAAAAAACACTGCTTGATGAGTCTGGGCTGTGTTGTGGCCTGACTGTCCCTCTGCTGTCCTGTGTTGTGGGTGAAACCATTACCATGGACTCAAAAAGGGGGGGAGGGCACCATCATTAGACCGGCCAGTATTTTTCTCCGAATGTGACTCTTTGTACGGGTTTGTTCCCCCTCATTTCCCTGTTACTGCATCTTTCTGTTCCATTTGATTTGTGTGTCCCTGAATTTCTTTATAAAAATGTTTTTGTATTCTATCATATAGTTATTATTTGTCAAGGCCAGGTAAACAGTATAAGTGACACGCTAATGCGAAGGCAGCATCACTAGATTAGTATTTGCAAAACAAGAAAAGGTCACTGTATATGTTTTTCTCGCATTGTAGTAATAATAGTCCTCAGAATTTCTGTTTAACTTGTGATAAAAAAAAATGTGGGCAGCGTGAAACCTATAGGTGTCATACTCCACTCATCTTTCTTTTTCACACAGATTATTATCATTGTTTTTTTGTGTTTTTTTCTTTTGATTTTAGTTCATTTTATTTCTGTTCGGTTTGTGCTGTCGTCATCATGGGATCACAGCCCCAGATGTCATTGGCCTTGCCTTGCAGAGCTCTGTGAGAAGGACGTTGAGACACTGAGGTCGCTACCACACAGTTGGCCCAACAGGGGGGGCCCGAGGCCAGACACCCCAAATGGGGGTTCTCCAAGGGGTCAGGCTAAAGGTGACAAATACCCCAAACACTGTAGTTTAGATCAAGGCAAAATCTTTATTTTACTGCGTTCCCACAAGAATTACTGGTGACTTTTTTGATAGGCAAGTCTATTGATTTAAAGGGGATTGCGCCAAAGAGCAATTATTTGGAGCAATGTCAACAACAACTAAATTAGGGCCTGGTCCAAACCCCCTTGGGCCTAATGTTTGATAAGTACATAATATTCCCATCAAAGAGAGATACCACCCATGCTGAATCCATGCTGACACCTGCCCTATACTCTCTCTGACAGATTTCAAATCGTTTAAATGATCCATCTCTTGTAGTTTTTGCTGACAACGGCATCAGTCAAAATGAAGATTTTGCCTGTTACAAACCTCCCTCCGTGATTTTGGTAAGCTTTGGATGTTGTGTACTTCTTGCGGTGAGTTTGACCAGTTGGTGTCGGTGGCTGGTTGGAGGTGCTTTCACATGTGTTTACTGTTGATATTTTTTCTTATTTGTAAGTAATTGGTACTACCTCTGCCAAAATTCCTCCAGCGTCCAGAACAAGAAAAAATACTTAAAGATTTCTCAGAGAGTTTCTCGGATCATGGAATTAATTTTGAACGAAATGTAATTTAACACTGATACTATAGACATCCTTCTAATATAAGCGTCTAAGTAGTCAGCATCCAGCCAAAGAATCCATCTTTACAGCACTTTATCGTGCACCATACAGCCATTAATGGTCGCCTTCAAAGAGTAAAGTCAGTGATATATGTTTCACCACTGATTAAACACCATAAGTGCACACTTCCCAGTGTGTTTCGTCTTTGGGCAGCAATGCTATACTACTTAAGTGTTTAGATAAGTAGAATATCAGTAAGTGTCTCTCTCTGTCTCTCTCGCTCTCTCTCTCTGTCTATCTCTCTCTCTCTCTCTCTCTCTCTCTCTATATATATATATATATATATTTATATATATATATATATATATGAGGTTGAGATTTATGGATGCATTTTTTTGGAGAACTTGAATTAAGGATGTAGTAAGTGTCTTTTTCCGTGATAATGAGCACATCACTAAGAATCAAGTGCTCCTTGGCTGTTGTAATCCCTTGGTGGCTGCTGGTGGATTTGATAAGAGGCTGCACCAGTTTCTTTGAGGTTATGTGCTGTTATTGTTAACCGTTGTTAATTGTGTGTAACTTGACAGTACTCTGTGTTATTTTTTGTTCTTTCAGTGCCATCCAGTGCTAATAACTATATCCAATGTGCCCTTAACCCCCCCCCCCCCCCCGTTTCCTGTGTGTAGTTCATGTGACTGTGGCTCTCCTATTCGACTCAAGCGATGTGTGAAAACGTGATTTGATATGTTAAAAAGACAATTGCAAAATGACATACTTGTACATGTTCACTTGTATTCTTTCTCTTAGGTTCCGTTAGTTTGTCTGTCTTAAATTAAATGGGATTTTATGCTTCAGCCCAAGAGCGACATGGAGAGACAATGTTAGAGGGGCAAGGGTAAGGCTCTCAAGTCTGTTGGGTTTTTATCAGCTTCCACAGGACAACCTTTCTCCTTCCCTCCCTCCTCAAATCCTCTTCCTCTGCTCTTCCAGTCCTTTTACTTATTTCTTAATCATGTAGCACTCTTCTCTGCCTAATTTACCCTCTATGAGTCTTATGTCCTTATCTCCTCTCTCTTTCTCAACCACAAATTTCTTTGCAGGTACAAAGGACTTTTCACATCTCGTCAACTGCACCAAAATAACAGACAAACAATCCCTCTGGCCTACTGCTACTAAAAATACTACACACATAAAAGCTATACTAAACACTGACCTTCTCTTTCATTGTATATACATGTATAAATGCAATATTATACATGCATATACATGCATAGATTTATGTGTGTATGTCAAGCAACTCTCCGCCTATACCAGGGCCGTTTCTCTTCCTTAGTGAATATTCTCACCTCTAACAGTTTGGAACCTCTTTTGCTTCTCTGTTTTTGTGTAGGTCTCTATAGTCAGCCTTGTAGCTAATGCGCTGGGCTACTCCGATCTAGGGCCCATTAAATCACTCAGGACACTAAGGGCCTTGAGACCCCTCAGAGCCTTGTCACGTTTTGAGGGGATGAGGGTAAGATCCAAAGCTAAGAAGCTGATCCTTCCGCATGCCCATTCAACAGTTTAAAGCATGCTAGAACTGATCTAAAACTAACTAAGAGGACTAAAAGAAAAAAAACATTTAAATATTTGGGGGATTGATTTTAAACCAGGAAATGAAACCCAAAAAAATACATTTCCATGCGCAATCCTGTACCATGCCTTTGTTAAAGCGACAGTTTAAGTCATGATGCAGCTGGGAGACTGAGTTAAGCAACTGTAAAATTATACTGCAAGCAGAATGACACACATTTCAATTGAATTTCCTTAAAAGAAACAAGCAAAAAATGTCAGCATACAAAAATTGATTTGCATGACAGAAAAAAATGACTCAAATGGAAAATATTTTCACAAGCTGCCTCATCACATCAGAGACAAACGACACGTTCTTATTACTTTATTTGTTTATTTTGTTCTTGTTTGGCCAAACTGAATGCGAAAATGGTCTAAGCTAACCAGTCTTACATACCATCTCATAGCGCATTCAAACCAACAATTCAATCAACCACTGCTTTCAATTAAGACCCCCTCCCCCCTCCCCCCCACATAACCTCCCCTCCTGCTCCCATAACCTCCTCCCAACCCAGTCACTCATCCCTCAGTGCATTTGGCATCGAGAACAACCAGCAGGAACCGGGGAGCTGCATGACACCAAAACAAAAGCTCAGCAAGAAGGTCGGCCGAACAACCACTCAAAGAAAGCTGTATCGTTTATAGAGCAGAAATGATTTGCTGTAACAGTAACTGTGGTTGTTATAGCCAGCCCTTGGTAAAATACACAGATCTGATTGGTGGTCTCTGTGACTGGTGGTGGCGATAGGTTGCACCTGGTTGTTGTCACTCGTAGTTTCCTCTGTCTCTTTCTCTCTACAAATCTTTTGGCCTCTTGATCCCATTCCTCTCTGCCTCTCAATATTCTTGGGCTGGTTGTCATGTCTTATAGTTTGAGATCCTCTTTTTCACCTCAAACTCTGCCACCTGCTCCTCCTCAGTCCCACATGTGCAGCAATGCACAGCACCCGCCCCCACCCCCTCCTCCCCCCTCCTTTTCCTTCGCACCTCTTTATCCCTCCACAACTCACTCCACTTGGACCCAGTACTGCTGGACTCGACCGCTGGAGGGTCCTCCACTCTCTCCTGCTTGTTCAGGATATTTTTTGCTTTGGGGACTGAGAAATAAACCACACACTCACAGTGTTGTGGCTTTGGGGGAAAAAAACAACAACATTTGTCAAGCTTCTGCCGTTGTCAGACTTTTGATTCAACAATCTGATCAGTTGATCAGCTGTCAGTCAATTCTAGCAACTGATAATCATGTTTTTGATGTAAAAATCTCCCTGTTCAGCACATAAAAGCAGGCCCAATGGTTTCCTGTGGGAATGCAGGCAGAAGCTTAGCAAATATGCTAGGGCATCATCTCACACAAAGCATTTCTGCAATCATGTCATGGCACCACATACTGTAGCGCACACAGCAGGCCCTGGCCTTGTGTTGCCTTCCACTCCCACAGGAAGTGATACTGGGAGGCAACAGTGGGCATAGTTAACTTTTGAGATGTAGGTGAGTAGTGGCCCATAGCTTGACTAGCACAACAGCGCTCAGACAACACTCTCAGCTATAGACCAACAATGTGTCGCCTCTGTTTAGCATGTCCCAAAAATGACAGACCAGCAGATGAAGAAGGCCAGTAAAATCATTTAGAGGGCGGATTGCCTGTCAATGCACTACATCGTAAAATTAGAAATCTCATTCATACCAAATATCCAGTGACTAAAATGTGATGCCGTTGCACATGAGCAGACATCGTGCTTTTAGGCCCTGGATAGGCTTTATGGATGCGGCCATGACAGTCTCCCTGAAATTTCCTAGGTTTAAGTGTCATTAAGATGTTGTCATTTTTGGGGTTGGAAAACATGACACATTTTGCTTAGATCAAGTTACCAATGCCCCCGTGAATCAACTCATTCACTGGGTGTATGTGGTTAGAGATTTCAGGCTGGCCCAGAAATGCAAAGGGAAAAAAAAGAGGAATTTGACCCTCCTGTATCAGTTTGTTATTATTAATATTAGTCATATTATTTTTAGTCAATGTTTGTGTTTGTCAGTTGAATTACGATTTTATTTGAACTGGAAATGAAAAATTAAGGCCAAAGCAATAAATAAATGAGTAGGGAAGTAAATGAATGGAGAGATGAAACATTATGAAAGAGCTTCTGGAAAGTTGGAATGATGCGTCTCTGTTGAGTCCTATGGTATAACGCTTACAAAGTCCCAACTCAGCTGCACAGAATGAGCAGGTTTGCTTTAACTTGGCACACTGCACTCCTTACTATGCAATTACAGGCAGTTTTGACTTGACTTTCTTAATGTTGTTCTAGTGTATTCAGTGATGTGTTTTAAGGGACTTCCAACTTAAGCTTGTTTTTCACATACAAATCTGTTTGAGCGCCACTAGAGGAACTAGAAAAAACGAAGGTTTGTCAAATATAGCATTACTATCTGTAAAATTCTTTAATTCAAATAAAGTTTTTCCACAACAAAACCCTAGTTGCTGCGACCAGGGCTGGGATATGCTATAGACATAGCATTACACAGTCACATAGTTAAATAGATATCTGTCAGACTCCACGATAAAGCATCTACCAAATCTAATTGTTAACTAATAAACTAATAAACAACAGCCTAGCTATTATCTCTCTATCCAGAAATTTCTCTATTTATTTGTGTATTGATTTGAGCAGATTCTTGAGATTGCACAATGCCATGTAACACGCATGTATTATAACTGCCGATGCACATTAAGCATTTTGAAAGCCATTTTCCCTCTTTCTGAGAATGCTTTCTACATAGCATGGCCTAATTCCTTTGTTTCTTTAATTCTTTTTCTTTAAACACAGAACTTTTTTAAGTGATTCAACTGTTAGACAAAGCTACCAAGCAAAGAGTCATTCTCTCAGCAAGTGCACTGGCATCACTCCTATAGATTACACTGCAATTTTTGTAGCTTTCTTTTGACCTTCTGTTGTGTGTTTTACATGCAAAAGAATACGTCAGCATTACGTTTTATTCTTTACATGTAGAAATGATATTTTACATTTAAAGTCTGTGAGGAGCATGCACACGTTGAGAGAATCCTGCTCTAAAGCTCCTCCCTGTCTGTTTGTAATGAGGAGGGAATATGGCTCAACAAAACGAGTCTGCGAAAGACATGCATGCTCAGCTGTCTGCCTGAGAGCTGCTGGTCGGCCTGCCTAACACTGGTAGTGAACCTGTTCACTATATGCTGAGCTTATAACTCAATGGGAAATCAGACTGCTAGACTGGAATAGATTTCTTTGGGTGGTGGTGGGACGGATTATTTAATGGTTGTATTACTTTATTGTTACATTGTTTGAATTGAAGAAGTTATGGAGAGGAGCTATGATAGAATTGTTGAATGTCAAAATGGGGGTGGGTAAAGTGGACAATTCATACTGATATGGCAAACACTCGTTATTTTTCTTTTGTTTGAACATCTGAATACTGTTGAATATATGAAAATCTATTCACATTATTATGAAATACTCTAATTATTATTTCATTATATTCAACTATATCATATATGATATGATTAAAATATAAACATTTTTAGAATGTTATAAATATACAGTGTGTGTAACTGAGTGAATAATACATACATTGAGCGGACTATCCATTTATTTTTAGAAAATAGTCTCTTGTGAGGACTGTACATATTGGTGTGTGTGTGTGTGTGTGTTGAATTTCAAGTTTAGATAAAAATTTGAACAAACAACTTATAAAAGATAAAACTAATTTCTTGCTAATTTTTATTTTTTATGCAACACTGTTATGGCGATATATATTTTTTTAACACTGCAGCCCACACAATGCAAAACAACTCTAGGTAATATCCTAAAAATGTGTGGTAAGGAAGCCATCATGCTAATGACATACGTTGTATATACAGGAATATCAGTTGTACATTTTACATGGTATGATTTGACTGATTTCAAGCATTCATTTGCACTGTGTTTGGGAGTGTATGTGTGCTAGATGGTCCCTGAAGCAGTTCTTGTTGCATTCTTAAACAGATCAAAGAACATCTGAGTCACATCAGTGCTGCTCTAATTAAACTGAGACTGATATGATACAGCTCTACTAGTTTCTGATTGTCCGCTCTGCAGTTTGCACATCACAACACATACTGCCATTTTTTTAAACTGATGCTCTAATGCTGAGTGCAAAAAGATGGTTAATAGCATTTTCAAGCAGTGTGTAATGCCATAACAGTATGTAGTGTCCTCTGTGAGGGGTAGAATGATCTGTGTGTGTTATGTGGTGCTCACATTTTTATATCCTGTCTCTCCTGGTCTGGTCTAGGTGGTAGTCAACGCCTTGGTGGGTGCCATCCCTTCCATTATGAATGTGTTGCTGGTTTGCCTCATCTTTTGGCTGATTTTTAGTATCATGGGGGTCAACCTATTTGCGGGCAAGTACTACTATTGTTTCAATGAGACATCAGAGGAATACTTTTCTGTCGACGTGGTCAACAACAAAACCCAGTGTGTGGCACTCATTCACGAGAACAACACTGAGGTCAGGTGGAAGAATGTCAAGATCAACTTTGACAATGTGGGCGCCGGCTACCTCGCCTTGTTGCAAGTGGTGAGAGCGTCGCTCCTCATCTCGTCTCCTGTCTCCATTTCTTGTTTCACACTAACTCACGTTCTTTCCTTATTTTCCTATGCACTTGTGTTTTTTTTCTTTATGTGCCCCACCTGAAGGTCTGTTGCTTTGAACTTCATTTGCTTTTTCTGTTCACAGCACTATGATGACGCCTTTTCTCCATATTCATTGTGTATATTTGTATGCCTCTCCATGCCATTTTCTTCATCCACTTGTTTCTTTCTGTACACAAGCTTTACCACAGGACATGCAACAGTTTCGGTTTGAGTATTCTTTGAGGATTGCGATTGTTTACATTCTTTATTTTCTTTATGTTGCTTTCTGAGTGTATATCAATTTGTGCATTAAAATGGTTTATCTTTTAAAAGGCTACATTCAAAGGCTGGATGGACATTATGTATGCTGCTGTGGATTCCAGAGAGGTATATTTATTGCTTTATTGCAGTACTGATTTAAAGTATCACATTATATAACATGTCATAAAGAAAAATTGGCTATATTCACTTTCTTGTTGAGAATTAGAACACCATGTTTATCTCTGGATAGGAAGTTACTGCCAACAGTCTGATTAGATGGATTAGCATAAGGATTGGACAGTTTATTACAGCATCCAGTTGCTAAGCAACTAGAGGACAGTCAATATGCCAAGCTAAGTTAGCCTGTTGGCAGATAAGTAAAAAAAACACATTTCCTACAATGTTGGGCTTTTCATTCAAATTTAATTAATTAAACACATTTCTACATGTAAACGTTCTTTAATTCAAGGTGGAAGACCAGCCTGACTATGAAGTCAACATCTACATGTACATCTACTTTGTCGTCTTCATCATTTTCGGCTCCTTCTTCACCCTCAACCTCTTCATTGGTGTGATCATCGACAATTTCAACCAGCAGAAGAAAAAGATAAGAATTGTTCTTTCTCCCAATTCCTTTATTGTTTAAACAAATCAAAAACCTGAACTGGATTGTAACCAATTTTTTTTATATCCCTATACTTTGGAGGTCAGGATATCTTCATGACAGAGGAACAGAAGAAGTACTACAATGCCATGAAAAAACTAGGGTCTAAAAAGCCACAAAAACCGATTCCTCGACCGCAGGTATAGTTAATCTACTTCTTATAGCCAAATGTTTAATATGCAACATAAGAAGCAGTTTTTTGCAACCGAAGTTAAACTCCATTCCACCCTATTGTGTCTAATTTCCTCACAGAACAAGATCCAGGGCATGGTGTTTGATTTTGTGACACAGCAAGTCTTTGACATCTCCATCATGATACTAATTTGCCTCAATATGGTAACCATGATGGTGGAAACTGATGACCAGTCAGATGAAACAGAAAATGTCCTCTACTGGGTCAACTTTATCTTCATCGTAGTCTTCACGACAGAGTTCTTGCTGAAACTATTTGCTCTGCGCCACTATTACTTCACCAATGGATGGAATATATTCGATGTGGTGGTGGTCATCCTGTCCATTGTTGGTAAGTGATGCAGGTGGTGGACCTGGAGAAGTGAGTGGAAGATTTGAGAACTTCACATATAGAAAAATGTTTCATTCTGCTTTCTTCTATCCCTCCTCTCTCCTTCTCCTCAGGCATGTTCCTGGCTGACCTAATTGAGAAATACTTTGTGTCACCAACCTTGTTCAGGGTGATCAGGTTGGCTCGTATTGGACGTATTCTTCGTCTGATTAAAGGAGCCAAGGGAATTCGGACCTTACTTTTTGCTCTGATGATGTCACTGCCAGCTTTGTTTAATATTGGTCTACTACTCTTCTTGGTCATGTTCATCTTCTCTATATTCGGCATGTCTAACTTTGGCTATGTAAAACATGGAGCAGGCATTGATGACTTGTACAACTTCGAGACCTTTGGCAACAGTATGATCATTCTGTTTATGATCACCACGTCAGCTGGCTGGGACGGGTTACTACTGCCAATCCTCAACTACCCACCAGACTGTGATCCCAGATTAGAGAATCCTGGTACATCAGTGAAGGGTGACTGTGGTAATCCCTCCGTAGGAATCTTCTTTTTTGTCATGTACATCATCATCTCTTTCCTCATTGTGGTCAACATGTACATTGCCATCATTCTGGAGAACTTCAGTGTCGCCACAGAGGAAAGTGCAGATCCGCTAAGTGAGGATGACTTTGAGACCTTTTACGAGATCTGGGAAAAGTTTGATCCCACCGCCTCTCAGTTCATTACTTTTGCCAAGCTGTCTGACTTTGCTGATGCTTTGGAGCACCCTCTTCGTGTGCCAAAGCCCAACACTATAGAACTTATTGCCATGGACATGCCCATGGTGAGTGGTGATCGCATTCACTGCCTGGATATTTTATTTGCCTTCACAAAGCGTGTGCTGGGTGACAGTGGTGAGTTGGACATGCTGAGGCAGCAGATGGAGGAGCGTTTCGTGGCAGCCAACCCATCCAAGGTGTCGTATGAACCCATCACGACCACCCTCCGCCGCAAACAGGAGGATGTCTCTGCCAAAACTATCCAGAATGCCTACCGTTCCCACCTCATCAGACGTGGCATCATCTTCAAGCGCCACACTTTTGCTAACAATAAGCTTGAAAATGGCGGGACCAACCAAGAGAAGAAGGAGAGCACACCGTCCACAGCCTCTCTCCCATCATATGACAGCGTGACCAAACCTGACAAGGAGAAGCAGGACAAAAGCAAAGAGGATTGGGCCAGGAAAGAGAAGGACAAAAACCAAAAAGATGAGTGGGAATCCAAGTGTTAGACTTCGGTGACTGAAAATCCAATAAAACACAGCGAGATAAGACTCTAAGCCCAAACACCCAACCAATGTAGAAACATCATTTTAATTACGAAGAAAAAAAAGACAAAAACTAACAAAAAAAATGTTTACATACTCGAGTACTACTGAGGAAAGGTGGTTTCCTACGTTGTCAAAGACATCTAAACCAAACACAATCAGTATACTGCGGAACTTTTGCTGCATAGCAACTAAGCAAATGAGGGAGAAATGTAAAACTCGAAACAGTGACTCACAGTGTGCTGACCAGTAGCACGCTTATTTTGGGACCAACTGCCACAGAAAATCACTGCGAAATGATTGGAGAATTGCAATGTACCTGCCACCACCATGCGTGGAATCCCACAGCAAATCTCCAATGCTACGGGACTGGATCATACAGATCACAATAGAACTGTACTAGCAGTCTAATGGAGAAGTCTGTACCACCAAGTTTACCATGTTTATTACGGAGAGAACAAAAATCCACTGATGAAGTTTAGCTATGAGAACCACACTAACAAGGGAGGGGGGGGGGGCACACTATTGTAGTCAAAGAGCTTTTTTGTTTGTTTGTGCAGAGTATACTTGCATCTTTACATGATTTGAGCAGCAAAAAAACAAAAAAAAACAAAAAACAAAACCCATTTGGCCCATGTCACAGGTCTTTCCATCCTCTCTTTGTTATACTGACATTGAAAAAGACATTTTCTACATGGGCTTTCATTTGGAGCGTGTAGGGGTTTCGGGATCATTCGTCGATGTTTTGACTTGGGCTGAAGGAAACTTGCTCAATCAGAAAAATAATAATTATTGTGCTCGTTAAATGCATAGAAATGACTTGCATGAAGGCATGTTTTGATCAGGATTCATGCATGAGTAATCATAGTCCACATGACACTAATTCTCAGACCACTTGAGTGGCTTGGCTGTAAGTTTTAGGCTGTCCACTGGGGAAATGACAAGAATTATAAATGGAGAATGAAGAGTTTGAATTATTATATGGGGGACATTGGGGGATTGGTGTTGTGTGATCCCACCCTTTACTAGTTTTGCTTTTCATTGTGCAGATAAGTTAATATCAGGTGAATGTAAGCACTTAGAGGCCCACTCTCGGTCGGATAAGCCAACAACATGCAATAGAAAAGGGTTTTTTGCTGCTCTGAATGTTGATAGCATAGAAAGAGTGTGGAGCGTTTGTGTATTAGGATACCGAATATCCTCATGTTGACGTTGCACAGATTTGGAGGGCCGTGTCAGTTTTCCTGAACCAAATCTGGGGCTTTGATCTTTTTTTTTTAATCTTCAGCCATCAGAGTCACTTTTGTTACTTACCTCTGGTCCCTGTGACAGCATTGAGAACAGGTGATGTTTTACGCCAAGGAATCCATATTTGGCACCAGTCAAATAAAGTCCAGTGTGCTTAAGTGTCAATAGGTATCTCCTCCACAGAAGTAGTTCCTGCAAGGGGAGTAGAAGTGTGGTTTCAGTGTCGGGTTTGGTTTCTGTTACTATAAGGACTTCTGTTTTTGACTAATTGAAAAACAGTGCTTATACTGATTCATTTAAATTAACTTGTGTGTACACTATGTCGAATCCATGTAGGATTTTCTTTAGGATGGAGGTTTGGGGCAGTGACAATTTCAGTTTCCAGGTTCAGAGAATAGATTAAGGGACAAAAGCTTTTGGAGTCTTCTCTGATGTCCAAGTGATGCAATCATTCTCAGAAAAGGCTTTTATCAGTGAACGTGACATTCACCACCCGATACAGCAGAGTTAGCAGAGAATTGTCATAAGGACATGCCTTGTCGTGCCTAGCATGTGTGGAAAAACAAATTGCTTTGAAGGGCTTTTGGTTTGGACTGTAGAAGTTAATGGATTCTGTCTGGTTTTCAGGGAGGTGGATGGGTGTTAAATAACACGTGGACCAATACATAGATAGAAGCCCTCCCTGCAAGGTTTTCGACTGACTGCCATGAGAATAAGAGAATTGCAAGAGCTAAAGACGAGAATAGTACTTTGGTCCAACTCAGAATGCTGAAAGTCCCATGTTTGTCAGTGTATCATTGTGCTTTTGTGGGACCTCTTAATCACTGTGTGGTCTTGGACCCAGGGTTGCAACATCTTTTCACATACGTGCAGACTTCCAATTCTATCACCTGCTTCAAAAGTAACTTGCCAGATATGGAGGTAGAAAAGCTAACACTTGCCGAGAAAAAAACATCAGCAGACCTCACATAAAGCAGCTATGTTGTATAATATGCTTTGTTGGTGTTTTTCCATTGGAAAAAAAAACGAGGCTATGTCATTTGGTAAATGAGACAGAACTGCCTCTATAGATGTTTTACCATTCCTTTTCTACACAGGAGCAATGGTCCTACTTTTCAGTGGATGACTGGGCATAAATCTGGCATCCATTGTCACACCACTAATGCCATTTGGTGTGTTTAACACTGCCTATACCAGAACCCCCTGTAAAAGAATAAATGGAGGTCGGTTTACAATATGAGGTCTCTAAATCAGTTTGGCTGCTGCACACTGAAACCAAATACATTCCCAATGACAACCACAGGAGGAGTGAGTAATGTCATTCAATTTACTCATGTTCATCTTGGATGTAATGTTTTAGAATGATACACTCACACTTAAAAAAAAAGACAAAAAAAAGAATACACAAAAAGATGTATATGTACAGTGCAGGCTATGATGTAAATGGCACAATTGCTGATAAAGGATGAACTTTTTGAGAGAAACTATAAATATTGTATTATATTGTTTTATTTTATCAGCATGCTTTGTTGTGTTTTTTGTAAATATGGAATTTTAAAAATGTTACTACTAATAATCAAAAAATGAATAATAACAATAATATAGAATGGCTTCCAGCTATGCCCTTTGTCACATTTGTTACCTTTTGGATTTTTTTAGACACTTTTCACTTTGTTGACGGAAAATGAATGAAATATAGATATTATATAATACAAAAGATATATACATGTATACATATATGTCTATATGTATATACATAAAACAGAAGAACATTGTCACATTTGATTTATGTGCAACACGTTCAGTGGATGTCTAAAACTGGTTGATTCCAGCACTCTTCTATGTTGGGGAATAGCCCATGTGCAATGTTACTGGATGTAGCCTGATCATGACAAAAAGGATAATGTTACCAGCACATTTCTCACATACCTTTTCATAACTGTCACCTTCAGAGTATTCAGGACACACCCACAGTCACACACCAAGGTGACTCTCCTCACTGCCCACCAACTTTGCTGGTGATCTCTTCCTGAAAGACCCCCAACGGTGTGACTGACAGCCTCATTCACCCTGAGATGATACTTACCCAAGAAACCTTTTCCCCATACCCACACATCAGTGCCATTACAGTTCAACACATAGTCATGTTGTCATTCCTCACACTTATTTTGTTGAATGGTTTCTCTTGTTCCACTCAATGGCATGTGCCTTTTTTCTGCTTTTTCTGCAAATTTGGATGTCAGTTCCACACTGAAGAAAAACAACAATTAAAAAAGGAATTAAAAATATAGTTTCCAAGCTGTGGAAGGGTCGGGATTCGGGGTCGAGTACAACATTAATCAGGGATGTCGAGTCAGAAATACTGCCGGAGGATCATCCAGACATCCCACTACATTGTACTATTCAACAGTGTGTGATGTTACCAGAACAACAACTAACTCAAAAATGTCCTGTTCTTAGTGCTATGTGTGTCACCCACTTGGCTTGTGAAAAAGCAGCTTGCCTTCTGTATTTTGGTTTAATTTCCTCTATATTTCTGTTTCCATCTGAAATTTATTTTTGTATCAACATTTGATTAGAAAACTCATTCTTTTTTAGCATGGTTTATCATGGACGTTTTTGTTTTGTTTGTTTGTTTTTTTTGCTGAAAAATTAAAAAAGTGCTTTTCAAACTGTTGTTGTCATTTGACACCGTGATAAAAGAGGATACAGTACAATATGATGGTGTGTTGCACAACCACATGGACTTTTGGTTTAGAATATACGAAAGATTGTCTTCATTTGAGCACGAACCTTTTTATTACCAATAAAGCAGCCTTCCAGTTACAACTGTTGTGTTGTTTATGCTTTTAACTCAGATACTTTTTGCTTTTCTAAAGACACCGAAAGGAATGTCCACGTTTCGCTTTCTAATTTCCCTAAGGCCTATTTCGGCATCACTGTGTCCACTTAAAGTAGAGGATGCCATTTTTGTGCATTAGTTTACTTCTCTGATGCTGGATACAAGAATCTTTCAAAAGATTCTGTGAAATGGAGCAGAGTGGTAACATAGTTGTGAAAGGCACTCTTTCAGATATAATGGACTTATTGAATTTGTTAAGTGCTTTGTGTCAACATCTTCCTCACAGGCAGAAGATGGAGTATGGCCCAATTGCTATTCAGTCCATCCTGTGATGCTCCTGTTTGTTATCCACTTAAAAGTCGTAAGCCCGGAGTTCTAAATGATATCACAGTTCAACTGCAAGCTATGGGCAAGGCTATGCTGGCTATGTTGTTTCCAAGAAAAGAAGGGCTGAACCTACATACTATAAGTAGGTTTATTTCTGTGTGGATGCATGCTGTATTTATCTAGTGGCTGCAAATCACGTTCTCATTCCATACCCAGTATCTCAGTTGCAAGCATTTCCTTCTTTTTTTTTACATGAAAAAAAAATACATGTGGGCTCCGTCGCCCCTTCAAATCACGTGGACTTTTCAACTCTTAGCACCCCCATTTCCATCTACCACTCGTCCTCCATCTCCTCTGATATTAGATTACATTTTAAACTTCTGGTATATATTACCTTCACATGAAGGCAGTGTGAACTAGTTCCTAATGGCCAGTCAAGTGTCTCTCATAAACGTTCACACTGCCATGTACCAGGATGGCTGTGTGAGACTGCAGCGCGGAGGGAGCTCAGACTGGGAGGGGGAGGTAAGGAAAAGAGATGGGGATGGGAGGTGGTTGGGCACTGCAGTGCAGATAAATTAATGCAGCAGCCGAGGCTGAGTCAGCAGCACACTCCCAGATTGGCTAGGTGCTTCGGTGAATGTGTGTTCCTGGCTCCACGGCTCGCCATTTGGCCCAAAACACGGCTACAGAAAAGGGGACTCGTCGAGATGGCTTGAGCTCAGTAAATGTCCGCAGCGGCGGCCATGCGGAGGAGCTGTCCTTGGTGCTGGAGGTGGAACCACACGGAAGAACATCTTGTGCTTGGCTCTCTCTGGGTGGGGCTTTACCGTTCGAGGACGAATCTGAGTGGAAACCAAAGCCACCAAAAAAGAAAGAACATAAAAAAGTTCACCATGCGGGGGAAGGCGACCTAATTCATGGAGAGCCACACCTACACACTCCTCTTCAATTCCTCCTCCTCTCCTTGCCTTCCTCACACCTCATCCCTCCCTCTGATGTGATCCGCCACAGAGCATGTGGTTTCTCGGTGGGTAAACCTAGAAGTGGCTAAATATAACGATTAGAAGTGTCACGCCCTTTTTACATTACATGATTAGCTTTTAAAATTAGATTTTTGCCTTTTTTTTGGTTTTGTTTTGATCCCATTGAAATTTCATACCTAGCCTAATCCTTCACTCACCAATAACTATTTGATATAATATGGGTCTTCCTCCATAGCTATAATGCTCTGTTTTTATATCATTTTGGTGCTACTGTCAGTCCTTTTTGTTGCATCCTGCAAGTAAATTACAGTCAGTGAGTGTGAATAGCGAGCCGTACAGGGGGTTTCCTAACATCTGATGCCATGTCAGTCCCTCACTAAGATAAGAGGGTTGTGTGTGTGTGCTACTGGTGTTCCCTCTCCCTAGCACCCCTCCTTTTACTGTTCCTCCACTCCCCAGTGAGTCGGACTGGAGGAGGGAAGACAGAGCCCATCCTTTTCATCACAGTCAGAATCTAAGGACCCCAACTTATAGGTGCACCTTTACAGAGCTCCCATTTCAGTGCAGTCGTTGTGGACCTTTTGTCAAAATGAGACATGAAGCAAACACACCTCATATATACCATGTTCAAAGATGTATTAAAACCTACATAACAAGCACCACTTAAAACTTACAGTCCCCCTCCACTGACCTAAAATCCATCCTCCCCTCCCTTACTATATCTTACCATCGATTATTGCATAACCATCTTGTGCAACAATACACATTTGTGTGGACAAACCAGTCTACACTGCAAATGGAAACAGGACAAATGCCTGTACACTCACATATTGCTTCTCTTAATATTTCCCCAATCAGCCGTGGGAAGACCCGTCTGATTTGATGAGCAGCAGCACCGACATGTGGTCGGCACTATAAATGCATGATATGCTCTCAAGGGGATCACTCATGTTTCCATTTCCGTTGGATAGATTTTACAGGGCTTGTTACCAGGATCTCCGATATCAACTTAAAGCACTGCAGCTCTACAAGATTTTATTTTCAAGTGTTAAATCATTTAAAAATACATCTGTGAGCAACACGAAATCAAAGGCATACAGGGGAATTCACAACTGAGGTTGATGTTTAGACGCCCAAATTTGGGTAGACTCTTTATATTTTTTTAAGTTAAACTTTTCATAAAGCCTTTTATCTATACAGTTGAGCAAGATCTTCCACAAAAAAAGAATACTCAGACATGCAAAATGACAACTTTTTCGTTCTTTTTCAAGCATAGGTATGTGCGCATTTTCTTCTGAAATAACAGAAATCACTTCCCTACAATTTTAAATCAAAGGCAGATAAGGTACAAAGCTGTACTATCAATAAAAAAAAATAGAAGTCTAAATAGTGCAAAATGTACATTATATCTGCCAGTTATAACCATGATGGTGCAGAGCGGTCATAATTTTGCTTGAGAAGACAAGAACAGTGGCCAACACATGTTAGGTGGAGGTCTTATGCCTCTGCTGCTATTTCAAGCAGTTCCTCACGACATCTGTGGATGAATACAAGAGTAATTTATTGAAAGATTTGTCAATTTAACATACCAACATAACCTGTGAAAGAAAATTATTAAGATTGAAGGAAAAAGTTCTTCCTAGAGATGTTTGATAATTTCCATTATTGAGCTGAACACACACAGAAATCATCATTGTAACATAGTCTACATTAAAAGTAAAGCTGCATCTCCCACATTGCTCCCCTTGAACTTTATCCCAAAGTTGTCACAGAAGCAGCTTGGGGATAGTTACTTTTGACCTCACCCTTCTCGTTTGATGTTGGTCAGCCACTCCACAAAGTCTTTAGCCTTTTTCTTATCAAAATAGTTGGTGAGGTCATTGGCAAAGGTTCCGTCTGAATGCCTTTTAAGATGTCGGATGAAGTTTTCTCCTTTTTCTATCTGATACGACTCCCATCTGAGAGAGGATTGGATTCTTAGTAAATGTCTTGTCGTTTGCAGACAGTTTGACTGTAGAACATTTTGTAGTATATATATATATTCATATTTGCCCAAAGCCAGACAGCGTCAGTATATTAAAGTCACAGGTTGAAAAAATGAATAAAAAATGTACCTTGATGATGTGGTTTTATCCATAACCATCTCCTTAGTTCTTGAACATAGAAAAACCACCACCACACACCACATGATGAGCTTCATCCTCAGATCACCTTGTCAAAACAAGCCCAATAAGACAATACAGCATTTAACCTAAATCTTCAAGGCAGAAGCAACTCAAGGTACAGAACTGAATGATCAAACTCACCTTTGGGAAACTTAATTTCTCTCGATAGAGGTGTCGTGCTTGCTTGCCTGCTGAACGTGCAGTGTACAATTGATGACACCACAGAGAAGTCCCTTCGTACCCTAAAACGACACTCTGGGAGTGGGATAAACTGCAAAAACTGGTTATCTCAGTTTATAAAGACAGCAGGTGTCCTTGTCTGACATGGAGGCCACATCCCACAGCGGACGACCTTTTTTCTCATTATGGTGGTGTGAGTCAAAGCTGATCTGAACCGGGGCCACGTCCACTCTCTACAAAGGTGAAAGGTAAGGCACCCATGCTCTAACTCAGACAGTAGCAGGTGTGAAGAAATGACACTCTGGTGTCTGACGCCAAGTGCAGTTAAAATCAGAAAACTGGGAAAATGGGCATTCTCAGTCACAGTTTAGAACACATCTTCTTCCAACATTGCAATGTAAAGTTGTTATATATATATGCATATATACATATATATATATGTTTTTGTGGCTATCAAACATTGAGGATGTTTGATCCTGCATAGTGATTCTGACAGTGGTGCTCGGACCTGCATGTATGGTATCTGTGGTACCTAATATCATTGATGTCAGTGGGGTAGTAGGGTATTTGATAGTACCCAGGGTATTGATTGCCCGGATATTGTTCATATCATTCAACTGACTCTTCTTGCCTTGCCCTTGCCTTTCTTCCTACTTGTGGGGTTTCAACGTACTTGTAGTGCATATCCCCTCAGTTTTGACTACCTTCTATTCCTCTTGTTACGTCTTCTGACTGTAAATCCTAGTGGTGCTGTAAATCTTGTGGATCAGTGAACCGGGGAGTTGGCTGATGTTTGCGTCATTCCATAGTCAGTATCCATGGCCAGTCTGCTTCTACATGGAGAAGCTGCTGTTCAACATGCAGCCAGGCATCTCTGGATCATTGCTGCTGTGGTGTACATCAGTGGTAGTTTCAGGAAGGACTGTCTGTAATAGCGAAGGTACTTCATGTTGTCTTTCAGGTATTCAGAGGCCTCGTGTAAATAAAAAAATTAAAAAATTAAAATTAAAAATTGATAGATAGATAGATAGATAGATAGATAGATAGATAGATAGATAGAT